ATTTAGATCAATATTACCAAGGGGAAGACTTTTTAATGGTCAGGAGTATTTTAATTTTTTTAAAATTTAAATTAAAATTCTTTAATTCAAAATAGCTTTGAATTTTCTCTACTTGATAATTCACATTTTTTATTGATTTTTAAGTGAGAAACGACACTTAATATTCTACAGTTTCATGGCGCTCCTTTAACTCAAGAAAGTACTTTCTTTGCATTTTAGCCGACGCAGTGACTACCCTCCACGAGCTTATGAAACCTGTTCAAGTCACCTATAATAAAGGAACTCTACGTTTGGAATGGATGCCACCTAATTTGGGACAAACATCTGGCCATCTCATCTATATCCTAAATAGCCGAGATGCAGGTCACCAATTTGATGATTGGTATACAGATATTCAGGTAAGTGAGATTATATCTCAATATGGAAAACATAGAAAACAGAATAATTTACAGAAAACATAGCTACAGAATTATTAATGATTTATTGTGCTTTACAGAGAAGGCTTAGAATTAACATCACTTAAAGCGGTCACAGACAATCTGACGAAAAAGTTCCAAAAAGTGACTGACCGTTCAATATATACTTCATAATTTGAGATTCCTGACCTTGTTATTATTTTTGCGCTACATAACGGATACTTCAAATAATACTGTTAATAATACATTTTACTATTTTTTATTCCAGACTGCAGACACGTGGGTAGAGTACGAGATGGATTGGTTTCCATATTTCAAGTTTCAGTTCCAGCTCTTGGTTATCAGTGAAAATGGAATTGTGGCTATTTCAGAAACGGAGATTCTTGATATCAGGCAATTACATGGTGAGTGCTAGTCCCGAGGAAAATTCACACTAGTATTATTTCTGACCTCTGTTAGATGCATATTGTCCATGACTTTATTTGAACTACATTCCCATGCGCGTTTCTTACGCATGCAATCTAGTAAAATACAGAAACTGTTGTAAGTCGTCATTTTACCAAACACCATTTTATTTATTTAAATTGAATTAATCTTAATATTGATGTAAAGCTAAATTGAATATCAATGTAACGAAATGATGTCTCTATTTATATATTTGTTAAAAACAATCAAATTATATTTGCAGCACTTCCAAGTCTACCCAGTGTTCAGGATGCTCCTTCAAGTACCACCTTTACCTCTGCTGACCCTTTACCTACCACGTCAGCACCAACCGGACCTCCAAGTACCACATCAGCACCATCAAGCGCTCCAAGTACTACAGCCAAGCAAACCGACCTCCCAAGTACCACTTTAGCACCAACTGGTCAGTCAAGTTCCATAGCACAAACTGGTCATCCAAGCACCGCAGCACCAACAGCTGGTCACCCAAGAACCCCGACAGCACCAACTGTCACTCCAAGTGTCCCTGCAGCACTTGTTGATCCAATTAACATCTCCGTGACAGCAGGGCGAAACGGCAGCACCATCTATGTTTTTGTCCACTGGCAGCAGATGTCTGCAGAACCCACTGACTACAGTATCTTCTGGGGCCTGGAGAGCTGCAATGGTTGCACTGCCACGTCTGCATCTGACTACTATGCCACACATGTTACTGATGTTATGGAAGGGGTAAGTTTTTACAGTTTTCAGAAAAGGGACTATTTTACTTTTTAAAAACCAGATTTAGTTATGATAGAAGAAATTCTGTAGTTATAAGTTGGCCCTCACTGTTTGGATATTACGCTTTGATCAAGTTATCCTTGTATGGCGCGACATGTCTGTTGTAAAGCAAAAATTCACATTCGTATTTTTAGGCAATAAAATTTTCTGCACCATTTATTTTATTTCAAAGTAATACATATATATTTTTTGTCTCCAGCTCGCTGAGTTCAGGCTGATAGCAGAATGGACATTTAATTCGAAGTACTGGTTGCAAATTGAACGCACATCAACCGGATCGTTTTCCCCAAGGATTTCCTTTTACACCCCCGAGTGTGACATTACCGATTCTACCTTCACCGTGTGTCGCCATTCTGAGGAGGAGGAGGAGGAAGATTATAATGGTAAGTGTAGCAGTGGATACAGAAATATGATTTATCTTTAAAGTAGAAGTTTTGTATGTCCAACACAAATTTTTTCCAGAATTATGGACATGATGTTAACTCCAACTGCCTAAGTTGAATTACATGTAAAAGGACATAATTTGAAATGATACTGGATCTTCTTCGTGCAGGGTGCACATCAAAGTACCAATATTACTTTTTCAATTTTAGCTGACCACATCAGTACAGAGGAAACCAAACCCAGTCACGTGATCGTCGTTATATGCGTGGCGGTCAGTGTTGTAGTGGTCATCGTCAACGTCATCATTTGCATTAGATGTCACTGGAAACGTACAAGGGTCATCGAGAGAAGAGCCAGTGCTATGGGCAAAAACATTAACAACGGTAGGTAACATTTGTATTGTAACGTAACCTACATTTGTATTGTTTATAATTACTTATAGGCTAATGATGAAATTTCGTTTCAGTATAATTTTACTATTTAAAATTCCTACAAATGATGAACAGCGGTATCAGTATATTGGCCTTCTGACTTTTACTACATATATTTATTTTCAGTATGTACTTTTTTTTAGTAAATATTACCCAAAACCTATTAGAATTCCAAATAATCCAAGTAACACGCACGTTTAAACAACTGTTTTCCCCTATTTCAGGCCCAGGCTTGTATTCTGATGACCAGCTGGTTTCAGTGCAGGACAAATGGGAACTTGACCCCATGTGTCTGACCTTTGGTCACCAGTTGGGACAAGGGACATTTGGCAAGGTGCTCGTTGGGTCATGTGACGGCAAGAAAGTTGCCATCAAAATGGCGAAAAGTAAGTATTCAAGCTTAATTAACTTGTTTTTATGTATAACCGTTATCTACTCGAAATATTTATATGTTATTTCACACTGATATTATTCCAGATTAAATGTACTTTCTACTTAAACTGTTCATATTTTTAGTGTTAAAAAGAATATTGTTTTTAGTTTATAAAAGATATAACATTCAATCATCAACAAAAAGGAGTATTAAAACGTCATCTCGTTATCAATTATGCATTAAATACTAATTATATATATTTTGTTATTGTAGGTAATGTCCCGTCTTCCTACAAAGCAGACCTACTTGCAAAGGTCTGCCTGATGAAGAAGATAGGTAACCATCCCAACATCGTCTCTATGATCGGGACCTGTACACTGAGAGAACCAGTGGCCTTGGTAATGGAGTATATGCCTCATGGAAACCTACAACATTTTCTAAGGTATAATATATATCTCTTGAAAACCGTTTTTCTTGATGCTTTTAGAAAATAAAAGATAATATTATGAATTTTAACTAAAGTAAAATTAAAAATTGGAAATTTGGAAATTCAAATTGTTCAAAGTGGTGACATTTGGTAAATTAAAAAAATGTTCAAAGAGGTGACATTTGGTAAATTAAAAAAATAATAATAATGATTGCAATGTTAACAGTTCATTATATCGCCATTATGAAGATGAAACATCCGTTGAATTGATATCAACTAATCTTATTTTCTTCGTTTCTAGATGCTGTCGTTTTGAAGGTCAGCTTAGAATGGAAGGCCCCAAACATAAAGTCATTGAATACCCAATGGTGAATGAAGAGGGCAGCATTGAACAAGACACGCTCACTGCCAAGCAGCTGCTCTCATTTGCACATCAGATTGCTCTGGCTATGGTAAGTATCATATAAGTGTAGCTTAATGAACATGATATTCTTTTTAATTTGGAAGTCTTATAAATACCCCTGTAAAATCCTCTTAATTTCGTGTAATACTCTACTAAGGACATAAAAAGTTTTGGAAATCATTGTTAAGGTAGCCTACATTTAATTTACCGTTCAAAACACGTGAACAGGCACGATGGTTTTTTCCATGTTGAATTCGGGTATTACATAGGCCTACACTTATCTCTACAATTCATTTTAGGAATATCTGTCCAGCAAAGGATTTGTTCACCGTGACCTGGCTGCCCGTAACGTCCTGGTTGGAGCAGATAAAGTGGTCAAGCTCAGCAACTTTGGACTGTCGAGGGATCCCAACAATGACCTGGAGCACAGTAATGACCCTGCAAGGAAGTGGATGTCCCCCGAAAGCTTGAAGGACCGCACGCATACTGTGCAGAGCGACGTGTGGTCATTTGGAATCCTCCTTTGGGAGATCGTCACATTTGGTAATACATGTATATATTAGTTATGATTCAGTTTGATCGCAAAATATGTTATTTTAACCAGCAATTCTATATGCATATCCTATGAAAATCAGCTTCAGTAAAAATATAATCCCATTTTTTCACAGTGCCTTGTTTTATGATTAAAAAAATAGTGATCGGTAGTAATGAGCTTAATTAAGTCATTCAGTGCAGCAAATATAAATTCAAACTAAAAGAATCGAAAATTTGTATTATTTAATAAATGTATGCACTTCTTTCCACTGCAGGTGCAACCCCCTATCCAGACATTGCTGTAACAGAGCTAGCCACCAAACTGGACCAGGGAACAAGACTCAAGAGCCCCAAGAACTGCTCTACGGAACTGTAAGTACCACTTTTATTCTACACCCTTCTTTAATCTACGAGAATAATTTCAGAATTTAAATTATCTCACCGGTCTTACGGTGCGTTTTGAATTTTCCCAATGTGGAAAGAATTTACCAAAAACAAATTTTTTCTTGAGTGCACATTTGTGAATCCCTTTACAACCATTATACTTACCGTTAAATTCATTCGTGAGATGCTGGTGAAATCTTGATGTGACATTAAAATGAAACTTACCATTTTGAAGGTGTAGGAGCTTATTGCATATGCATTTTATTGCGTCAAAAATCTAAAAGTCGTTCTCAGTTTTATTAATTAATATGGTTTCTTGCGTTATCTGCGTATAATTCTGGTATTAACTTATTCAATCACCATTAATTCGTTTCCATACCGACGAACTGCTCAACTACATTCTGCTACACTCCATTCTAAATACATTCTGTAATGTCATTTCAGGTATATTCTGATGCTGCAGTGCTGGCACAAACTCCCCGAGAAGAGACCCAGTTTTACCAGCATCCGGCTTGAATTGGAAGCCATGATGAGCCAAGACTGCGACTTCTTAGAACTTGAAAACCTCGTGGAGCCGATATCAGAGGAAGGAAGAAGCGGCCCAGTCCATGACAGCACGTTAGAAAAGAGGGAAATGTTGGAAACAAGGGAGCATGAAGAGACTGAGGGGATATACGAAGAAGTGGAGGAGGATTACGCCCAAGAGCCACGCTTCACAAGAAAAAGAAGCTTGAAGAAAACTCTCTCCCAGTTATCAAACATACTGGATTCGACTAAACTGTCCAAGAAGAGTAGTGTGAATAGCCGTAAATCCGGCGGGTCCAGTGTCAGCTCCAGTAGACTGTCCATGAAAGGCAGTATCCGCCGGAAGTCAGACAAGCACCAACGTTCTCTGGAGAACCTGATAGTGGATGAAATACTTGAAAGTGGAAGCGAGAGTAGCAGTGAGACACAGCTGGATGTGCTGAATGAAGAGGTCTTTTGAGCTTTTACGTAATTTTTTTTTTCATTTTTGGTGATCAACGCCGTATGACGTTTTAAAGCTGTATGTTTTTATAGTTCTATTGACATTTTTGTTGGCCTGTGACTTACAGTGCGTAATGCCAATTTTGTAAACGACTCTCTTGTTTGCAAGCAATCATGCCAATTCAAGATATATCTGAAAAATTAATGACAAGAGATAAAGTATTTTCATTTGAAATTTCATTAATATCAAGTTTAGCATAATAACTGGTTTTTTGTGTAACTTTAAGCAGCCATCTTGTTTTGACAGATGTATATTTAAGTATTTTTAAGTTTCAGAATTTTAAATGAGTAGCTCCATTTTTTATCATCTGCGACTTCTGACATAAACAATACAAATTTATGAGTAGCCACAACTACAAAAAGTGTTATTGTACTAATACCAACAGCTTTACTGTTAGTTACCTCATAGCGACATGTGATGTACGTGTATCAATTATCATTATATACATGTATATATTTCTCATCAGCCGTAAATAAAATGATAAAAAGCGTCAATTTAATGTAGCGTTTGTCAATATTTAACATAGCGTAAAACGTCTGGGAAAAATTCCGCGAATTGCAAAAACTGTCATTCTATCTTTCAATGTATTAACCACCAAAGAAACTAGCCGGTCAGCTATCGGGTACTCATGGAAAGTAAGTTAAGGTTAAAGTTGACCTGTTTATTTTTGTGATTCATGCCGGATAATTGAAAACTTCTCACGAATTCCCGAAATTTAAATCACTCAGGCTAACTCTGTAATATTAATAAATCTTGCAAGTGGATATAAAACATGTGCCATTTTTTTTCTAAATTTCTTACAAGGTGCCATTAGTGAAATACTTTTAATTCACTCTAAATGGTTTGTCTTTAAGTTATTTTCAACTATAGCATTAAGCATTTAGTATGGATATCCCACGAGAGAACGATCATTATAGCTCTTGCAAACCTTCTCTGTTATTCTATGAAAGTAGTGGAAAACGACTGCAGTTAACACGATGAACTTAAATAGCATTAATTTGATTGCCCACATTTCGTAAACATAATCAATGGGCAGAGTGGCCATACTTCATAATGTCGTACTGATTTACTTATATACAACATTGATTTACTTTTATCAGTACAACTTCAGCAGATTCCTCCGGTGAATACTTAGTGAAACAAACGCATATTCCAAAAAGGACATTCTAGGAAATTGATCCATCGCGTGTCTTCGTGGTTTTTCCATGCTTGGCATTAGCGGTATCAGTAATTTAAAACAAGCTGCTGACCAGCGTGAAATAAAGGTCAAATCGTGACACGGTGAATAAAGCAACAAATTATGCATGTGATGACTTTCTGTCATACTTATGCATATCAGTCTTGTAGTTCGTCCCAGAATCCCTCCCAAAAACAAGATGGCCGCCTATTTATGGGATTAAAAAATAGATATACATATTTAATGTAGTTTTTGAAAAAGAAATCTTATTTTGGTGCCTCTTTTAACTGCCTAGCCTACATATACTCACTGATTGTTTGGGATCACAAAAATCAAGAACAAGGTTAAATTCAAAGTCTAAAGCGTGTCTCCAAGGTGTCTCCATGCGCGGCTATCAGCGGTATTAATACTTTAAGCCAAGCTGCAGACCAGTGTGAATTAATGGTCAAATCGTGACACGGTGAATAAAACACCAAATTATGCATGTGATGACTCTCTGTCATACTTATGCATATCAACCTTGTGCTCCGTCCCAGCATCCCTNAAAAAAAAAAAAAAAAAAAAAAAAAAAAAAAAAAAAAAAAAAAAAACATGGCCGCCTATTTATGGGATTTTAAAAAAAAAATAAATATAAATATTTTATGTAATTTTTAAAAAGAAATCTTCTTTTGGTGCCTATGTTAACTGCCTAGCCTACATAAACTCACTAATTGTATGGGATCATAAAAATCAAGATCAAGGTTAAATTCAAAGTCAAAAGCTAGGGTTTGACTTGCATAAATAAGAAGTGTTTTCAAAAGGCTTTCCCTGTAGTTTAAGATCAAGAAATGTAAATAGTTTAGATAAATATATTAAGAATAATTCTGTAATCGATTTTGTAAGTCGATCTAAAACATTTTCCAATATCCCTTTATGGACTTGTCACCTCACTTACTGAAGTAATATTCTCCAAGGTGTGGAATCCTACACCAATTCCACATTGTGTCTTCATAGTTAGTCAACATGTTATTATCTAATTTGCGTCTGTTCTTCATGAATAATTATCATTCCCTGTAGAGGACTATAGGTATGCCTGAGGCAGATGCATATCACCCGTTTATATTGCACAATGATTAGTTTGTAAATAAGTAGCAGCTACTGGCAATCATAGATTCCATGTAGGTAATGTGTATAAAATCTGAATTCTTGTACATATAATCTATACACTTTAGATTTGGAACTGAAGATTTGAGGTTGTTCTACTATGCTTCTCTGTGCACGTTAAGTGGAAGACCGAGTCTGATCTGGAGTCATGTCGGAGCCCATACATTAATTAATTCGATAACGGAAATTGTTACACCAAAATTCAGTACAATTAAATTAAAGTGGAAGTCAGGGGCTCCACCCCAAATGTTTGAGAGGTCAAACCTTTGACCTCAGTGTATTATTTTCCACCTTCTCCTAAACAGCTTTCTTTGAAGTCAACTTTGCCCAAGTTCTTCTCCTGGTCAGGAATGGTGAAATCCTTCTGATATATTGGGTAACCGGCATCTATGTGTGAAGGACAATCGCAGAGTTTTGGAGTTCATTAGTTTATCAATAAATCAGGTGACCGGTCAATCTAGGTCATTACCTATAGGAAGGTATCAGGGTTAGACTGCTATGTCGTTTACATCTTACCACGTAAGTTCCTGGATTCGATTGATATCTATTCCTAGTTCTTTTGGTCGACATAAAACATTCACTTATTATCATTGTTATTGAGTGCGAGTACATTTTGATACCAAAATCTTCTCTGCTTTTACGAATATTCAACACATGCTCAGCTGTAGCAAGTGATTACATGTTTAAGGTCCTGCCTCCCTCCATTTTATGTAATGAAACCACACGTGTGTTCGTGCTTTATTTATCAAGGTGACTTTGGAATGTGTACATAAGTGGCTGATTCCTATGCTTTGGCGTAGACGGATTCGGCCGAATCTCGTACTTGGTGAAAGAAAAGATCAACGAACCGTGCTTTGAGCAGGTTGAATACATTCCTCAAAGCTGACAAAGGTGAAACGGCAAATTTGGGTGAAAAACCGCAATCATGAAATTTCCTGCGTTTCTCGCTTTCGTGTTTTCTACGCTTGTAGCGTTAGAGCTGGTGCATGCCAATGAGTTGAAGTTAAAGATGGACGAAATTCCCAAGAACAAAAGACTAAAGAACTTGAAGAGGGAAAACCCCGCAGAAATGAAAAGGATGATGAAGGCAAAAGGACTGATAGACATTTCCGAGGAAGAAGGCTTAGGTAATGTTAATAATGTTGATATTTGAAATAAGGGTTTTTTCCATTTCTTTTTTCTTTCTTTACATTTCTTTGTGTATTATAAAAACCACGAACGAGTTAATCACAAATTCGGATACGCTAAGGGAATGGTAGATGATCCTATGTCTAGCATATTGCTCGTCATCATTCCTGTTGAAAGCAATGTGTCTGCGAGTTTCAATTGAAGAAGAGGGCATTTACTAAAACTTCGACATGTGTGAAGCATGAGTATTCCTACTACTTCAGACATTTCCATTTATAAACTGCAAGGCATATTCTAATTTTCTTTATTTTGTGCCACCAACAAAGTTTTAATTGTATCCTTACCTTGCATTTAAAAGATCTGGTATGCGACTTAAAATCACATACATTATTGAGTATCGCCTGTTTTTCAAATATGTTGCGTATCTAGTGTCGCTGATATTTGATATAATCCTTTTTTAAAACACTTTTTTAATCATCACTTTGCATTTCAGTGCCACTGATAACCGCCACAGATGGCACGGCTGTTCCCGACCAGTACATTGCCCATCTTCTGCCAGAGGGAGACTATGGAAAAAGTAGGTACACCAGCCAATGAAGTTGTTTAAAAATTTAATTCCCGTACTTGTAAGTAACTATAATTTACTATTGGTGGAATGGTCAATATACCAAAGACACAGTTAGTATAGATTAAGTACAAGCATGTACATGTATATGATTATTTTCCCAACAGAGAGGTCTAGAAGTGTCATGAAAATAAAAACGCCTGCTGAACGTTCATTTCAAAAGCAATATATATTATACGCACACATTTTATAGTTACAATTTTACATCCTTTACAGTTCGTAGCATCCTGAAAAGAAGTGGTTCCCAACAAAAAGTTAGGTTCACTAGAAAAAGCAGCTACGCCATACTTAAGGGTATAAAAGAAAGGTATTTTATTCTTCAACAGATGCCTTTTTGATTAAAAAATTAGTTTTGATTTTAATGACCGTTAAATTTTAACATTATTCGTTTTTTTGTGTGTGATTTTCATTATGCTTTGGGGTAATCTTTTTATCCAGCATCATTTTATAGATATGATATTTTACAATTCTCTGATTAGTTTGTTATGGGAAGAAATTCCACACAATTTTTTTTCAGATATGCATAGTTTGTTCGGATTTTTGTCAGTTGTTACTGTTGCAAGAACTTCTGATTTTTAATAGTGACCTTCAACAGCTTCGCCAGCTTACTGACGTCATTGCGGAAATCGAACAAGATAAAGCAATGTCGATTGATGGATCTTATTGTACAGGACCTTCCCCAGCATCTAACACATGGGTAAATAATATGTGCGTGCATGTGTATGTTTGAGGTTGTACATAAATATGTATGTTCCTGATCGAGCGTCAATGACTATGAGTCATTTTTCGTATGGTAAAAGTGTCTTAATAAAAGATATAAAAAACATGACTGCCGGCTCCCGTCTAGGAAAAATGTCATTCACCGGTAATCGATATTACTTCTTTAACTCCCTCGTAACTCTTTAACTTTGTGAAGATGTTTTTGAGATTTTTTATCCAAAAGCAAACAAACAAAAAAGACAAACCAACGGCGAGAAAAACAACCGCCTTTACTTACGGAAGTAGAAAATGACCTCTTTCTAAACATGGCTTCCTTCCTTTTTGATGCAGAATTTAGACCGAATAGATGACGAAAGGGATGACGACAGTTTCACCACCTGGGCAACCGGCTCTGGTATAGACGCGTACGTCATGGACACTGGAATTAATCCTGATCACGCTGACTTCGGAGGAAGAGTGTCATCAGGTAAGTGACATTAAACTAAAATTATAAGAGAGAGAGAGAAAGAGAGGGAGGGAGAAGATGACCTGGCACAAGACAAGAATCAGAAAGAAGACCGTTCTCATCAGAGTTCTTTGTTGTTTTTCCAGGATGGCACGGGAGTTCTTTCTCCGATACCAGAGACACCCATGGTCATGGTACCCATGTGGCCAGTACCTTAGGCGGGGACACCTATGGAGCAGCCAAGCAGGTGAACCTTATTCCCGTCAAGGTGTGCTCCTGGACAGGGTGTCCAACCTCGGACATCCTGGCAGGACTGAACTGGATAAAGTCACGGGTTCAACAAAACAAGCGTCTGTCAATCATTAACATGTCACTCGGTGGTGGGTACTCCTCTTATCTCAATGACGCCGTGTACGCGGTATTGGATGCAGGCATTCCAGTGGTAGTTGCCGCTGGAAATGACGGCAAGGCCAATGCGTGTAATGTATCCCCAGCAAGCGTAAGCGGAGCGCTTACAGTTGGCGCCACTCAAATAGATGATTACTTGGCTCCGTTTAGTAACATCGGACCGTGCGTTGATATTTACGCTCCAGGGAGGAAGATCAGGGGCGCCTACTACGCGAGCACGCACGGCTCAGTAGAGCTTGATGGGACGTCAATGGCGTCCCCTCTCGTCGCCGGTGCAGCCGCGGGTTTGTTGCAGGCCTATGCCGACGCTGGGTTTTTCAGCGAACCGTCCACAAGCGTCGTTGACACTCTAAACTATGACATCATCCAGTATGCGGAGAAGGGCACAGTGAAGGGACTCCCGTCTTCGAACAACAACAATGTTATGCTTCACACCACCTGCCTGACTACCTAACTTTAATATCACCCTGAAATGAATTTGTAAAAACAATAAACAGTACCAGTAAGCTGCAGCAACCTATCAAAGCTGGTCTTTAGAATGTTTTCCTAGAAATGTATTTTTTCCTCAGATTTATTTAAGATTTTAAGATATCGTATCTTTTTAAGTCTTCCTGTTAACACGGGTTCTGCCTGATGGTATGTTGAGTTAAAATATGAGTTAAACGGGAAGCTGTTACTTTTACAGTAGTTCTCAATAGAACCTTGCCAGCGGAATTTTAGACAGAAACAATTTTCATAGCACTAGCTTTTCGGAAACAAACCGATTTAAAAAGGGGTGAAATTGATAATATCAAAGCTTTTGCATGTCATATGTTATTTTCCAATGAGCAACAGCTGCTTGGCCTGCTTGCACTTGTATTGTCCTGACAAGGACAACTCTTACAGAGAAGTGTTACTTAAACGCGATTCCCTATTTGGGATATTAAATGCAAGCTGTATATTGCACACGAGATGCCATCTTATTTCTGTCTAGTAATTTAACTGCCAAAGAATCAAAACATGCACCCAAAAGTTATACATTTATAGAAGTTTGCAATAGGCCTGATAGGCCAATACTGGGTACATTGCATCTTGAAATCTGTCTTCCTTGAGACTCTATATTTTAAAGTTTCACATAAGGGGATGTTAGAATGTGGTCTTTATCACGGCATTGGTGGGTACCCCGGTGTAATAGGTGTACTAATTTGATGTTATGTGGAAATTATGACAACTCGATGTTAAATCATCTAAAGAATAAAAATACAATACTTCGCACAACGATTGTGATGAGTTACAACTTATTAGTTGGTAGGTGTGATCTACTGGTACTTACTGGTTTCGTAAGGTGAATTTTGGATACTTAAAACATTGTTATACTTCTAGCACACACAACAACGCGGAATGAGCATATCAAAGACATGAAATAGTCCAAATGACAACGACTTATAGCTGCGCAAAGAGCCTTTTCAGTCAAGAGAAAAGAGGCTAATTCTAACCAATTTGAAAATAATTTTATTGAAAATCCTTAAATCTGCCATCTGTGGTGGAAAGCCATGACCTGTACAATGGAGATAACTGTTTGTGATCTATATAATTTTTCTATCTTTTTTAACTTGACATTTTACTACTTTTTTCCCCGATTTTTTTACTTCTTTCATAAATCTGACTATGCATATCCTATCTAATATAAATTCTCATATTTATGATTAGTTTCATACTCTTGATTATGGCTCAATTTAGAAACAAAGCAAAAACAAAACAAAAAATAAAAAGACTTGAATCTTATTCACAGAATAAATTGAAAGTCACCAAAACAAACATTTTGATAAAAAATTGTGAAAATAGCAATGATGTATATGGAATTCATGGGATTTGTGTTGATATTAATTTTCTTCCTTTTTTCATTTGGAGATACCTCAGTACATTTCAAAGGAAATGCTAAAAGGACTACTTGTGCTCCTAAAAAAAAATTTTTTTTTGAATTTTTAAGAAAAGTTAAAATGACTGTAACTGCGAACTTGGCTTAAAGTAAATAAAGGTCTAAAGTAATAGTCCATATTTAGCACAAAAAAATTGCTGATCTTATTTGTTAATATTTATGTTTATATCAAAATCCCATGAATGGTCCCTCATTCAAATCAACCTTCTCCTTTAATAATCGAAATGTTCTGAAAATTAATAAGAATATAGCAATACACTGCAAACAAATGAAAAAAAAATCGAACTGTGACACACAGTCTTATACTAAATATTTAGAAAAAAATTCATAATAGTAAGTAAAATATATACATGGATCTTTATACAATTAATAACATATTTAAATCAACATGCCCTTGCTGTTGCACTGGTTCAATTACATGATTTCTAAAATGTTATCAGCAGCTTATTTATTAAGTTCTTACATTTTTTTCTAAAATTGATATCACTGTGCTCATAGATGTTTACAATGTCTAAATACCAGAAATAAATAAAATCAAGTGTCATGGTGCACTCACACATACAGATCATTTTCCTAAATACTTAATCATATAGTTTTGTCTAGTTTACTGTAAAAAAATTCTACTATGCTTGTGACTCTACCAAATCTTTGTTTTAGTATACAAACAAAATTATTTAGATATAATGTTAATCTTAAACAAAGAATTTGGATCTATCCAGCATTTGCATAACAAATGTATATTCTTGAACTGACAACTAATTAAAACAGAACTGAAAACTAAATAATTAATTGACATTAAATACAACTGACTTCCTTGAATGCTGTATTTAGTTAGAAATAATGCTTAACAGAAAAGACTAACAATTTTACTAAGTTCTACCAATTTTTTTAAAGTTCTAATACAATAATCTTCTCCAAAATAAGTATCCAAGTAATTCACATAACTTATGCTGAAAAAAATGTTTGAAATATTGTTTACAAAAAGAACAATTGGCTTTACCAATACAGTCACTTTCATAACAGGGGCACATGTCCCATAAAATTTTATCAAAAAAACTCACAATTCTGCTTTGCATTGGATTGTTGGTCAGGCTTTATCACAAAAACATTCAAACTTTAAAATTTTCGCTGATGAAAAATATGGTCTGGCTTCCTCTTAGCGTAACAATCACACTTGTAAGACAAGAAGTGCACAAATTAGTATGAGAGATTTTAATCTCTAGATTTTAATTTTAATCTATTAAAATAGAGCAGAATTATCATATTTACAATAGGTAAACATGTACAAATCCATGTTTAACATGGATGCAATGTTTAACATTAAACCTTGTAAATAATGAAATCAACTTGTTAACTGCACAAAAAAACATTTATCTGGATTAAAATTACGAAGAGCAACTGAGCTGGGTTCCTCCAATTGTTAAATGATTCTCTATTCTAAACTGTCATCATATATTCTAACTTAAATAATTCAGAAAGGGCCAAAAACCTAGCACTCTGTGTTTATGTCACACTTTAAGAGGTTGATGTTCAGTGTTCCTAATAGAGCAATGACTTGGAAAGTGACTCCAAATAATGACTTGGAACATGACTCCAAATCCTAGTAATCAAAACCCATATCTGTCCAGTGCTGTTAATCCAGTGTACAAAATGCAAATACACAATGGTACCATGTTATCAACAATACAATTAATAATACCTTAAAACAATCGGCAGCATAGATAAATGAACAATTGTAGCATACAGTACTGATGATTGCTCAGAACTGAATAAAGCAATAAAATCAGCAGCATTAAGTCAGCAGTGTATGAAGGGAAGGATTCTCATTAGAAAGCAGCACACTTTGGGAAAGTATTCTGATTTTTGCCAATAAGAAAAAAAATTACTGGAAGTCATCATCTTGGTCCTGAACCAGAACAATTCAACTCTTTTAGGAAGAGCAACCACATTTGTGACAATAATTCAAGAAAATAATGACATCCAGCTGCAAGAAACGCAATAGATTTAAATGGAACAGTTATAAAAAACTACATTTACTCATGAAAATAACTAGGTGGTAATATGAAAATACTCGTCTCACAATGTTTGTCTTTATATGTCCCAGACATAATTGTTGCATAAGATGAAGAACATGGTGTTGCTAAGGATCATGGAATGTGTAAGTTTTATAAGTCATTTGCTCAATATACACAGCTATCTAAAAACTAGTTGTTCATTTCTAAATAAATTAACCTTTTATTAAAACTATATTCATTACAAATCTCGCAGTCAAACTGTACCTGTTATTTCTTTGGGTATTATTACACCAATGATACTAAAGTTTATAAAATATTTTTACAGATTTCATTATGTAACCTTAACCTTGACAATGTTAAGCATATCATGGCTGAAAAGTTCATAGAGGACTGGATATTAAAATTCATCTGTTGTGGCTTTAAAAAATATAACTGAAAAAAAAAAATCAAAACTTGCATTTTGACTGGCAATGCTCACATGTCAGAATTATTTATTTTAACTTTATATCTACTTGGTGTGTTTTGCTTCACACATTTAACTACCTGGCTATCTGCAGTGTAGATTCATAAATCATCATTTTTCAAATTCGTACAACAAAAACAGTTTGGCCAAGTATATAACTTGCATTGGTCTACTAGTACTTTGCTGATCCCTTAACTAGCACCTTAAATATTTGGTTCAATGGATATGTAACACTCACTAATAACTCTGTTTGGACCTATTCAACTAAATGTATTATCATCCCATAAAATTCCAGTGTCACTGACGCCACACAGGAGTCTTCAAAGTGACTAGAATACAACAGAGTTCAACAGTATATCTGTCTCTTTCTCACTCTGAGCAAATTGTCCTGACTGTCTCCATGTTGAACTAGTTTTGCTGCTAACGTGACACATTTATTGAGCAACTCTTCTAAGTCAAAATTCAATTTCTCATGCTATGAACCAGCCACTTTTGGATGACCAAAGAGGAGACCAATGCTCATGCAGTGCAGTGACTTTTGCTTTGGTCTATGTCTGTAGTGTCTAAATATTAATGGCTACTATAAGGGCTTTGTATTACTTCATAACAGCTCAGTCAAAGCTTGATGTCTAACAATATATGTCTTCTCGTGGGAGGTATATAAAAACTACATCCATCAGCAAACCAGGTGCTCTTTAGGCTTACGTGTCTTTCAAGGAATTTACTGGCTAGGTGAAAATTCAGTGGTGTACATTAAATAATAACTAAATGGATTCACCGCTGTTCTTCAGACTTCCAGGTCTTGGTGTAAACTTCACTGGCTGCACTGGCCCCTGTGGATTGTTCAGCGGAATGTTCTCTACATCCTGGTCTATGAAATAACTGGTGTCTGATCCTGATAGGGCGCGTACCTAACAAAGCAAACAAAAATACAAATAAAAAATAATAACTACAATGACTTAATCATTCTATAACTTGATAATGATAAAGAGAAAAATGATACTCTGAAGGGTATATTTGATAGCAGAACCATATCACCATTGGAAGCATCAGATCTCAGTTGGTGTGCTGAAAGAGTGGAAAGACCAGGTCCGAAGCATTGCCTTCTCCCTAGTTGAAAGCATCTACAGAGCTTCACCTTCCTTAAATAATATATAACTAATGGTAGTTTTTATGATCAGTGATACATTCAGGAGATTACTTTAAGGGGGTTGGCAGGAGAAGAGAGTCACAGGTGATGAAAAATGTGACTTGTCTCCCAGCTTCAAGCAGCATGTCCAAAGGGATGTTCCAGTAATACTTAAAGGTGGTAATTGCATTTTCCACTGCCCTCTCTAGATCCACATGAAATAACAGCAATGACAATGATGATGCCACTAGTCATGGTAGTAATAAAAGCAGTATCCTAGGTCCATGGAAAATATAAAGCAACAAAGTAGAGACACATGTTCCATGGTACCCGTTTACAGAGCAATTCGCCTTGGGAGAGGTAGATGGAACTTCCCAGTTGATAAGTTAAGAAAAGTAGACAAGACAAAGCTGTATTATACAATCCACACTACTTATTGCAAATTCCTTATCAAAATAGTTTCATATTTATTATAGTCTAAGAATAAAACCAAAGCTGGTAATTAAAAAATTTCAGCACTGTAATGACTTATACACATGCATATGTCTTCTCATCTCCCTACACATGTTCATCCAATTTCAAATGTGTAAGTTAAGGGATGTTTGTTTTCTTTTTTCTACTTTCCTTCTCTCTTTCTTTTTTACCTTATACATATTAACTTTCTGTGTATATATATTTATATTTTATGAAGAACAGTTACAGATGTTTTTATATTTTTTATGTTTAACAAGTAATGCGTTCAGTATCTTGTAATTCACTGAATGTTATATAAGATATTTTGAAATGATAGTTTATATCAGGTCACACTTGATAATTGCTATATAAGTGTTTTAGGCACTAAATTGGCTAATGATATCATCTAAACATCATCATCGATTTTGTTATGAAGATTTAAACAAAGCAAAGGACTTACACTAGATACTGTAGAAGTTACAGATATGTTTTTATATTTTTTTTATAACACATATTGTTTTTATTTTTTAATTAATAAAAATTATTAAAAAGTACATTAGTAAAAGTCACCAAGGTCAATTTTGATTTCTTTTCTTACCACAAGAGGGCAGCATGATGTGATCAAGAATGTTTTCTGACAGTTTTGAAATCATGCTACTAACACCAATTTTGCTGTACATACTATCCTAATGTAATCTCCAGTTTCTTTTAATTACTGTCTAAATCCATTGATCTGCTTGAGTGAATCACATGACTGCATAATATTGCAAGCGATATGATATTAAATCAAATTTAACTTGAATGTGACTATTTCAATTATCAAAACTGAACAGATTATAATATATGAACACTTAAATGATTGTGATTTCAATTTATATTAATTTCCTACTCATATACTGACATCACATTTTGACAAGACAAAAAGAGACGACAACAGACTTGCCTAACAGATGTATACACTGACAAAAATTTAGATATTTAAAACCAAATCTCAACTAATTTTACTGATGTCATCATTTGGTGAAGTAACTATACGGTTTCCAACTCAGCAGAGAGCTATTTTCGTGACGTGATGCAGTGCTCAGTTAGGCTACTGCTGAGCTGAAGACCATGTTGTTATTTAAGTACAATGATGACACCAGCGAAATCATTCAACAAGCAGAACTAGGTTATATTAGCTTGTCAATTTGAACACACAATAGGTTTATGCAAAATATTTACACCACTCTTCAGCAAGGAGTACGTGAAATACAAAAATGGACATCAGACACACCTTGCTAATGAATGGTTTATCTGAATCATACCACGACAGATGTCGACAAGAAAATAACCAGATGTGGTGTAACTCATATTCATGCGTAGCGTGTGTATGTAAGATACACCACATTTGCATCTTTTGGTCTCGACATCAGTGATGGTAAAAATGAGCCTACTTGATGCAACGCTAATCATCAGCTAGTTTCCAGCCAAGCAGTAGACAATCTGAGCTAGTACAGTGTGTGTGTGTGTGTGTGAGTGTGTGCATGTGTGTGTGTATGAAAGAGGGAGATACTGCCGACTAGAAATGGTAACTATTAACTATGACATATGGGTATGTTTGTATATATGTGTACGTATGTGGGTATATGTATGTATGTGGGTATATATATGTATGTGGGTATATGTATGTATGTGGGTATATATATATGTATGTGTGTTTATGTATGTATGTGGGTATATATAGGTATGTGTGTTTATGTATGTATGTGGGTATATATATGTATGTGGGTATATGTATGTATGTGGGTATATATATGTATGTGGGTATATGTATGTATGTGGGTATATGTATGTATGTGGGTATATATATGTATGTGTGTTTATGTATGTATGTGGGTATATATATGTATGTGTGTTTATGTATGTATGTGGGTATATATATGTATGTGTGTTTATGTATGTATGTGGGTATATATATGTATGTGTGTTTATGTATGTATGTGGGTATATATATGTATGTGTGTATATGTCTGTATGTATGTGGGTGTGTATATGTGAAAGAGATATACTATAAGACATGAAATGGTATATATATAGTATTATGCCGTATTTTACATTTTGCGAGTGCATGCATGTTTGGAAAGGGGGACTCTAATACTGAGCTTCAGACAGTTCAGCTTTGAGAGCACAACTAACACAGCATTCTGTAAAAGCAGCAATAAAGATGCAGCAGTTAGCAACAGACAGTCCATGCTACCATTTCACTGTGAGAGTTTCTACATACATCTTCTCTGTTCTACTTACCCAGTCAATAATACGTTGAACTGAAATGGGAGAACACACACGGTACAGTGCTCACATATGAAATTTAATGTGAAATTAAATAAAACTTATTTAAAACTTATCATTCGAGCTGTGGATTATATATGGATACATAGTGCAAGAGACGACAAGACAACTGTGGAATAATCATCTCTTTAAAAAAATATAATTTTATGTTCATTTTCACATAATATTGTAGATTGACTTCTCTTTTACTATCATGCATAATATATTCAGATTGTGCAACAATATGCAAACTTTCATTTAACTTTTGTCAATGTCTACATAATGTGCAAGCTGACAAAGTTTATATAAAGGCGGAAGGGGTAAATTTGTCGAATCAAAACAATTCAAAGATGTTTTGTGGCTGATAGTCAAATTATTACTAAAATATACAATATATTGAAACTATTTACACTTTATCAGCTTTTGTACGAAAAAATTTTCAGGAAAGTAATCCCAACAGTTAAAGATAACTCACAGAGGTTTATAACAGATTTCAATAAAGGCAATCAGAATTTCAAGAAAAAAAAATCTTGTTTGAATTCATTGTTTTGAATGTGTCAAATGATACTGACACTGGGAACTCAGAAATTTTCATACATTTCAACAAATCACCCCTTTACCTTTAATGGCAGTGATAATGTAATAAACTTTCATGGGAGAAATATTACTAGTTGGAAATCTAAAGCTTGGAAGAAATTGAGGCACCCAAGCTGCTATAAGCTAGAAGAAATATTAAAAGTCATATTAAGAACTGATCTACACACTATGTCACAATATTTTAGAACTTTCTATTATCACTACATGCCTGTTATATATTATTAATTAACACAGCAACATTAAGTATAGATTTAAGGAGAAGTTTATTTTTTATAAGATACTGTTATCCAAAAGGTTATTATAATTATCATATCATAATATTTATGGCTGGCAATTCCTTTTTTTATTTGACTGAGGAGATTTTTGAAATTGGAACAAATCTAAAGCTTTGGAGTTGAATTGAAATGGAATCTTACAAAAAGTTACTGTCCTTTATGTCAATACACATGGTACAAATAGCTGAACATTGTCAATCTTTTTCTTTAAAGAAGTGATCATATGAAACCCCATCATAGCATATGGCAACCTTCAGTTCACAATTTTTACCAAAGCAATGTTAAATTAATGAAATATACCAAACAGCCTTAAGCCTGTTCCAACATTTTTCTTGACAAACCTAGTAAATTATCCAAGCAAACGGTACAAAGCTGATAAGCTTTAAGACTGAGCCTTGGTAGCTTTCATCACCTGTTACATGGTCAAACAAATTATGAAGAAAACATTTCTAGCTTTACTTTTCACAAACTGACCTAGCCTAGCATAGTCACCTCTCTAACTCTGGTTGCTCTTCATGGATAAGAACCAATGAATGTTGATATTTTAAAGTTCCCTATTGCATTAATTTAACCAACATAAAGTCCCATTGTTTAGTCAGACCAAGCTCTCATATATGAATTAGAGGTGGGTTATCAGTTACCTAAGGGTGGGTGTATGGCCACATTATTCACGAAAAAAAAAAAAAAAAAAAAAAAAAAAAACCTATTTGCTCAAATTTTACATCAAGTATCAAATTGAATGCTTTGCATCATAAGGTGAAGAACATCTGTGATAGGATAAAAATATGACCAATAAAAATACACCAATTTATCGCACCAGTTTCACATATATGGTACCTTCCCAATAAGATGGGTACTTACTTGTATAAAATATCATAATCACAATTTGGAGCTCAAGTACAATACGAGACATTGTTCTTAAAACCACAACACCTATTGAGAAAGGTTTTTTTAATGGGTAGTCAGACAAAAGAATCTATATCCTAGAAAATATCTATAAAGGCAACAAGCACACAATATTACACACAACAACAACAACCACATGGACTTAAAGAATGGAAAAAAAATGAAACAAAAATGAGATAAATACAACTGCTTAGCAGAAATATTTATCAGCAGGGATGACAAATGAGAATACTGAAGTCAACAATTAGACACTACACGTGTCTCTCTTGAAGACAACGTATTATCAATACTCAAGTGCTTTGTCATACTGTAGGTACCTATGAGAATGAGAGGTTTTTTAGAAGTGAGTTCAATGTAGTGGCAACACACAACTAGAAGAGTGCTTTCTGATTCACATTGGTGTTTGGTAGCTTTTCCATGCTCAACAACTGGAGTCACAAAAAAAAAAAAAAAAAAAAAAAAAAAAAAAATTAAATTTTCAACTTTTGATTGTAAATTTTACTTTTTGAATTAGAAGAAAGTTATTATAAGAAAGTTTCTTAATGGCTAACAATTTTTTCAGTGCCTTTCACCAAATTCACCTGTGCATCTGACACTGAAATTAAGCAAAAAAGCACTGTGACATTAACAAACTGTCCTTTGCTATCAAAGTTTGAGATGGGACACGTTTTACAAAAGGTCTATATTTATTGAGCTAAGATTAGCCTGCTAAAATTGGATAGCCATCTATGCAAAGCAAACTTTTTTGTTGTTGCTCTAAAGGAAACATGTACCCGTTCACCAATGTGCATCTTACTAATAATTATCATGGTGTTAATATTAAAGCACTGCACACAAAGCAATGTGGTGAAAATAAAAAAAATAAAAAATTTTTTTTTCAGTGATGACCCATATTAGCCAGTCTACAATAATAACACTGGCCAGTACCACATATCAGTAAAATTTAATATGGTTCGGTTAAATTTTGTAAAAATGTTCAGTAACTGGGCATTGTTTAACTTTGGACTAGTGGATTCCTACACCCAAGTGGTCCCTAGTCTGGCATAGGCTAAAAAACTTTTGACACAGACTGCCATTAAACATTACTTGATAAAAAATGTGCTGTTTGCTAAACAGTCACGTATTAGAAAATGTTATTTTAAAAATATACAAAAAATAAAATTTCTTTTTTGGTGCTATGTATGATTGTCAAAATAGTGGTTTTAGTGGAAAGAAAATTGCATTGTAAAAAAAGGTGTCAACAGTGTGTTCCTGACAGTCTTACAAAGATTATCAATGAAAAATTTAATGAAGTCCAAATGTGACAGGTGAGCATGATTGAAAATTTGACAAAAAAGTAAAAGCTGGCATGTCTGCTCTGGAACTGCATCTAAACTGCAGTGCTTTTAGTTTAAAAACGTGCCAAGGAGGTCTAAGATACAGTAAGTTAAAAGTGTTAAGCCAAAAAGACAGAATGTAAGCAGGCACATGTTGTTATTTCAAATGTTTAATATGAAGTGTTAAATGGAGATGGGGAAACAAATCCAAGGAATGATGTGATTTTGTTATGTATCTGCATTTAAAAGTGTTACTGTAATACATATTCCATGCCTTGACAACAACTAGTACATGATGTAAAATGATAGGTACTATTTAAAATTTATTTTTTTTTATAACTGGCAGAAATCCTTAAATCTGTAGAAAAGAAGGGTCATCACTTGCACACAAACTTAAAATGACATCTAGGTAACGTAAAAGAAATTACTGTAAATAATCACTTCACAAATAAATTGTACATTCATGTTACCTAGCAACAGTTGCTATGGTTACTGGGCCTCCAGTATGTTGGTGGTTGAAATGGTGAGTTTTCCCGAACGTTTTGTGAAAGAAATGGAGAGTTTGTTTGTGGAGTAAGTCTTGGGCTGAAATAAATGGTGGTGAACAATCAAGTTTATTATGAAATATATATTAGAATGACATCAACATACAAGCAGCGTAAATGTTATAAGCTCAAAAATGTTAGTAATAATGTCCTATAATTTATGCCACCTTATTATCCATGATATGGCAATTATGCTTTGGCATATTTAAAAGATAAATGTTTATATAAGGCTTGATCTATTGATATCTTAAACAAAACAAATATTCTCTGACGAAAGAGGGAGAGAAAGAAGTGAGAAACAGAGTGAGAGAGTGAATTTCTTCACTAAACTTAATTCATAAATATCCACATAGTCCACATGGCTGTATACAGTCCATCATAAGCTTTGACAATTGAAGAAGGGCACTCAGAAAAATATCCATCAATTTGAACAAAAAAAAAAAAAATTTGGCACTACTCCAAGCAGTATGGAGAGTTTCATAGAAAAGTTGCAATTTGACTGAGAAAAAGTTTGCAAACTGAGAACCAAACAAAAACACGAGAATGTGAAGTCAGCATATTAACAAAAAACAACAGTCCCAGTCCTCCAAAATGTATAAAATACCAGTTTGAAAAAACAGTCAATAGGTTAATAAAGTGCAGATATATCCAACAGATCATTAAAAAATATTAATATAAAAGGTTGAAAGCAACAGATTTGTGTTTTATAATAAAAATGTCAAAGTGCCAAGCAAGCAAGAAAATCTTATTTCAAAAATGTAAAAAAGTTATCTTTTTAAACACAAATCACAATAGATTAAAATAAAAACCTCATAGACATTATCAGCCTATTATTGATGTACAAATTTACTAATATAACCCTAAACTAGAAGAAAAATACAGACAAGCTCAAAATTCAGAACGTTAGTAAATATTGTGGCTGAGAATGTCTTGGGGGTAAAAAAACTCACATTCATGGCACCGACCTATAAGTGAAGGTCAAACAATATACAAAATTTAATAAAATATGTTTATATGCTGTTGCTGTGTAGACTTACACACATGCCTGTACACTGTGCACACACTGACATACATATGCACGCAATTACGCACATGCATGCATGTACATGTGCTCATCCATTCGTTCTCTCTCACAGATAGCACGCACACATGATAAGAAGACTGCATTTTATGTAAGATATATATATATATATATATATATATATATATATATATATATATGGTCTACATACACATACTTATATATTAAACCTTGCAGTGAAGTGTGCCATTTTCACATGCTGTTGATAATTACAGTATATGGATTTGTGAGGTACATGTAGTATCTAAAACATCTGAACATCTCAGACCCAAGATTTGATAAATAGACTGTAAAAAACACAGATCACAAACAATATAAACAAGCGTGTGGAGTAATAATAATAATAATAATAATAATAATAATAATAATAATAATAATAATAATAATAATAATAATAATTTCTAAACTAGGGAATCGCTAGTGACAAATATGATGGACAAAGAATGAAACAGTTTGATACATTACAGGGGAAAACAGATGAAAAGTAAATAGCCACACATATTTTATACCTGCTTAATAAAGCCAAAAGTGAGAATCAGATTCATCAACAAATTGCACATACGCCTAGAAATTATTAAAGGAAATTTAAGCACATCTGTCATTCCTTCACTATTTCTTCTGAGATTAAAAGAAAAATTTGACAGAATCAAGAAGAGCAAAAAATAAAACAATAAATTCATTTACACCAAAAGCAGAAATCACAAAACTGCAAAACTGAGACTCCTGGAGAGAAGAGAATAAAGTAAAAGAATCATGTGAAATAATGAGAAAATGTAACACAGCTAGCAAAATATAATGTAATTCTTGACAACTCTTCCTGACACACACACACACACTCCACAACTACTTTCTTCACTTTTATTACAGGCACTCCCCGCCCAATTAACCACATTTATTTTGAAAATAATATCATTAAATTAAATATTTTTGCCATGTACTAACTTTAACATTATGTCCCGAATCATTAGTTTTGAAAAAGAGGGAGAAAAGACTAAGTGCAGAGCTCAAGTTCTAGATATTTCTTCTTTTCTCTCTATTTTTTACGTTTTGTAATTGATTTATTAAACCATGCTTCTTAATTATCCCCTCTTCACACACACACACACACACACACACACACACACACACACACACACACACACACACACACACACACACACACACCTAACACCAGAAAAGTGGGCAGTTAAATAAAAGAAAGAAAAAAAAATCAAATTAAATTTCTTTACAACAGCACACTTACCCTGTTGTTTTCTGGCTTCTGTCTGGAGCTGCTGAATGTGTCTCTGCAAGTTCTCAGTACTATATCTGGTAGTAGGGCTATGAACATGAGCACCAGCATAGCAAACCAAGCTGAGGCGTTGGAATAGAGAGCATAGAACACCCAGTACATGTTCTGTAGATCAACAAACAGTGATGGCCTGGAATGAGGAGACATCTGGTGGTGAGTTTCAGATCATTTCGCACAGCACAATTCACTGTCACACCTACCACACTCTTTTCCTTAAAACTACCACTGTTATTTTTAAAACTTGCTTTTCCAGAAATATAAAAATATCACGGCACCCTTTATTAAGTTCTTGTCTAACTGCCCCATTTGATTATTTGTTCAGATCCATTTTTAATTTGTTATATGTGACTTTTAATAAATTTAAAAAAAGGAAAGACTTTTAAAACATTGCCATTTCATCAATGGACAGACAACTTTTGACTCTAACTGTATGACACAAATTTTAATATGCAGAATATATTAAAAACTTAAACTGTAAAGATGTTCTTAAAGCAAAGATGATTCAAATTTAGTTATAATGCTCCAATATCCATGACTTACATGATGAGTCCCGAATACATGAGGATAAAGGACACATATCCCAACATAGTGAACCAGAAGGCAAAGTGGGTCACACCCGTCCAGTAATAGGTCTCCAGATACAGCTGAAAATATATCATAACACTCCTGTCTTATATCACTAGTAAGAGTGGAGAAAAAACTCAACCCACTTACCCAATAATATGCCTTCAGATAGAGCTGAAAATTTAACATCACAGTACTCCTGTCTTATATCTAGACTAGATAAAGTGGAAAATACTCTTCTACACTAATTAGTTTCCATATAAAGCTGAAAATATAACATGACACTCCTGTCAGAATTTTTTTCCAAACTAAACAATGTGAATATGGAGTTTTAAGAGAAAAACCTCACCTTTAAGTTGGCCGTGAGCACTGTCATACTGATGAGCAAAGTCCCCATGCTGAATATGCCATAGGTCTGAAATATTAACATATTCACAATCACTGGATGGCGGGTCACAACAATAGATATAACCCAACAACCAACACAATGCGGTGTGATGTCACAAATGACGCAACATGGCTTTGTGTGGTCACAACTAACACAACATGGTTTTGTGATGTCACAACTACCACAACATGGTTTTATGATGTCACAACTAACACAATATGGTTTTGTGATGTCACAACTTACACAGTATTGCTGTGATATCACATCTAAAATGACATGGTTTGTGAGGTCAAAACTGATATATTATCTGCTGAAAAAAATCCAATTCTGAGATAACTTAAAATTTGCTTGCCATACAAATAAAAATGAGCTGCAGATTCAAAATCTAGTGTAATCTAGTGTACAAATAATATATTCTGCGAGCAATATGTGACAAACTCATTTAGATAATTTACAAAATGCATCAAAGTCAACCCAATATAGTTTAATTGTTTTCCTGCAAAAAGCCTTCACAAAAGATTAAAAATTATAATTTTAATTAATAATTATTAATAATATATATAATAAAAATACATAAAAGCATATCTAGGAAGCATACAACCTAATACCCTGTCCTTAAAATACTAGTACTGTAACATTAATCTTGAAACTAGCCAAATGAAATTTCGTGCACAACGTTTTCAAAGCTGCAATTACTTTACATGTAAGATGTATGAAGCTAGTCTAACGTCCACATGTTGAGAACTAAGTTGCCTTTTTATCTTATTTCCAATGACATCCACATTGATTTACAAACATACATACCACTCCGTCTCCCGACAATGGCAAACCATCTTTAAATATAAAAATACATCCAAAGAAAAGTACCACAGAATGCCATATACCTAAGGAAAAATAAAAAATGTAATCATTTATAAAAACAAAACATGCGATCAATAAAAAAAATTAAACTGAAATACAAGAACATTCTCACATACAATAAACATTGCGAAATCATTTTATATCTGTTGACTTTTTGAAAATAAAATATTTGCAAGCATATTGTAATGAACTTAAATAAAATTTGAACCATAGGCAAGGGTGAAATCAAATTCAGAATTTACTGGAAAATTTGATAAACATATCAAACACAGAACATGCTTCACTTTTTCAATGCCTTTCAAAACAGTAGTTTAACATCCACTCAACACCAACTAGACTTTAGTTACTTGAAAAATTGCCTTGTCCAATACATTTAAAATAGGGGGGAAATGACATGGAAAATGTAACATAATTTGTCTACATCAATAAGTTAAGTAAAATATTGAATAAGCAATCTAATATAAGTCTGAAAATTTGAAAAAATAAATTCCTTACCCAGAAGATTCCACTTAATAAACTGCCCAGGTGAAAGCATGGCATTTTTCCTTATTTTTCTGAAGTACAATGAAATCTTGTTATAATTCTTGGTTGTTCTGGCATTTAGATAATACAAAAGTTATAGATACCAATTCATTAGTGAGGTACATATGTCGTGGGATTTTAAGTTAATACCTACATTAACTTTTTGTTTTAAAATTCTGGAGCCTAAATTTAAACATCTCACTCATTCTAATATCCTACTTTTTAAAAATCAGTATTTTTTGGTTATGTATAAAAATGTACTTTCCTGTAAGAATCCAAAAACACTTGTCAAAACTTTTGAATCAACACTGAAATGTTACCAATGACAAATAATTGTTTTGCAGAAGTGATGTTGCATTTCATTTAGTTTCAATGTATTGAGTAAATATCATGATTATAATGATCAAGAAACAGAAACTTACTTATATAACTTGGGCATCTCCATCAGTTTATCTGGTGGTATGTGTTGCTCAAATAGACCATATATTAGGATAGGAAGTGACGTGAACGTGATGTTGAAAAAAGTCAGGAAGAAACTGTCATATATAGACTGAAATAGGAGAAAATATTGTATAGTTAATATGCATTTCCTTACTGGTGGGTTACAGCAGGTGCCTAAACAATGTTGTGTCATACACTCTCATTTATTGAAACAAGGCTCACGAGGAAGGGGTAGAGGAGGAGGGGGCCGGGGAGATGTTCAGCACTCCTCAATCAAACAGATTGGACATCTTTACAAAGTGACATGATAAATACAATTATATGTCGTAAATCACTTCTTAGTACTGATTTAAGGTAATACCAGANTAATTTACAAAATGCATCAAAGTCAACCCAATATAGTTTAATTGTTTTCCTGCAAAAAGCCTTCACAAAAGATTAAAAATTATAATTTTAATTAATAATTATTAATAATATATATAATAAAAATACATAAAAGCATATCTAGGAAGCATACAACCTAATACCCTGTCCTTAAAATACTAGTACTGTAACATTAATCTTGAAACTAGCCAAATGAAATTTCGTGCACAACGTTTTCAAAGCTGCAATTACTTTACATGTAAGATGTATGAAGCTAGTCTAACGTCCACATGTTGAGAACTAAGTTGCCTTTTTATCTTATTTCCAATGACATCCACATTGATTTACAAACATACATACCACTCCGTCTCCCGACAATGGCAAACCATCTTTAAATATAAAAATACATCCAAAGAAAAGTACCACAGAATGCCATATACCTAAGGAAAAATAAAAAATGTAATCATTTATAAAAACAAAACATGCGATCAATAAAAAAAATTAAACTGAAATACAAGAACATTCTCACATACAATAAACATTGCGAAATCATTTTATATCTGTTGACTTTTTGAAAATAAAATATTTGCAAGCATATTGTAATGAACTTAAATAAAATTTGAACCATAGGCAAGGGTGAAATCAAATTCAGAATTTACTCGAAAATTTGATAAACATATCAAACACAGAACATGCTTCACTTTTTCAATGCCTTTCAAAACAGTAGTTTAACATCCACTCAACACCAACTAGACTTTAGTTACTTGAAAAATTGCCTTGTCCAATACATTTAAAATAGGGGGGAAATGACATGGAAAATGTAACATAATTTGTCTACATCAATAAGTTAAGTAAAATATTGAATAAGCAATCTAATATAAGTCTGAAAATTTGAAAAAATAAATTCCTTACCCAGAAGATTCCACTTAATAAACTGCCCAGGTGAAAGCATGGCATTTTTCCTTATTTTTCTGAAGTACAATGAAATCTTGTTATAATTCTTGGTTGTTCTGGCATTTAGATAATACAAAAGTTATAGATACCAATTCATTAGTGAGGTACATATGTCGTGGGATTTTAAGTTAATACCTACATTAACTTTTTGTTTTAAAATTCTGGAGCCTAAATTTAAACATCTCACTCATTCTAATATCCTACTTTTTAAAAATCAGTATTTTTTGGTTATGTATAAAAATGTACTTTCCTGTAAGAATCCAAAAACACTTGTCAAAACTTTTGAATCAACACTGAAATGTTACCAATGACAAATAATTGTTTTGCAGAAGTGATGTTGCATTTCATTTAGTTTCAATGTATTGAGTAAATATCATGATTATAATGATCAAGAAACAGAAACTTACTTATATAACTTGGGCATCTCCATCAGTTTATCTGGTGGTATGTGTTGCTCAAATAGACCATATATTAGGATAGGAAGTGACGTGAACGTGATGTTGAAAAAAGTCAGGAAGAAACTGTCATATATAGACTGAAATAGGAGAAAATATTGTATAGTTAATATGCATTTCCTTACTGGTGGGTTACAGCAGGTGCCTAAACAATGTTGTGTCATACACTCTCATTTATTGAAACAAGGCTCACGAGGAAGGGGTAGAGGAGGAGGGGGCCGGGGAGATGTTCAGCACTCCTCAATCAAACAGATTGGACATCTTTACAAAGTGACATGATAAATACAATTATATGTCGTAAATCACTTCTTAGTACTGATTTAAGGTAATACCAGATACACTGTTAAATATTAAAGTTGTCCACCACTCATAGTTGTTGGCACAACCAAAAGCTTACTTACCTGAGCAGAAAATCCAGAGAAGAATGCAAAGTACACCTGAGCTGTTATAAAAGCCACGTTCTAGAAAGAAAAACATGGAGAAATATACTAAATCATGTCCCCTATCAAAACAAAATCAACAATAAATCATTACAACAAATCTGTCCAGCTGATCAGCACAATTATTTCTGCATTTACATAGACTTGGGAATGTTTGATTATGACTAGATTTTGTGTGCTGAGCCTGCCAATAATTAAATTCATGCTGTTAAATACTTAACAAATTTGATTGCAGTGGGGACAAAAACTTCTGCTTAAAATAGCAGAAAAAGTCCAAAACAGTTAAAAGAACTGTAAAGTTACTGCAAGTCCCTGGAGAGAAAGAATTTTGACTATGAAAATATCACTATGGTACAGCAGCTATTGAACATAATATCTAATCTTTGTGACAGAAATATATTACATACTAAAAATATCTTGCCAATTTCTTTCTCTGTTTAACTCATTTTCACCTCACCTTGTAGAAAAAATATTGCACTAGTGTGGCTATTCGGACATAGTACAGATGTCCATGAACAAATAGAGCTCGCATTAAAAATCTGAATCTGGCAAATGCGTAGTCACTACACCTAACAGCTTGCCGGCCTTCTTTCCCCATTACACCTTGAATCAAATACATGGAATAAATACTAGATTATTCCTTTGTTCTATCACTAAACATAAATCCTTAACACACAAAATAAGCACAAAATCAATCAACTAAATCATCAGTTATTAAGAATTCCAACTACTTTCCAAATAATTACAAACTTAAACTTAAAAGAAATTTATATCACAGCCAAAAAAAAAAAAAAATTCACATAAGAACAACCAACCAACAGTATCAAATACTAAATTTAAGTGAAAAGACGGACAATTAATTAACTCCACCTACCCAGACCAACATGGGCCTCCTGTATCATACTGACATCATTGGCACCATCTCCTATAGCTGCTGTCACTGGGTTGTCCTTGCCATGTTTTATTAACTGGACAATCTGTAATATGGAATACAAATGGGTTAGGTGTGATGTCTTGTACAACCTTTTGGTGCTGCAATAGATTTTTTGTCAATGAACATTTTCATAGAACAATACTAACTGTGTTAGGAACAACATCCGATGCAACTGAGTGACTGGTCCTGATTCAGTTACCCATGCCAATTAAAAAATCAGAGGTACAAGTTATCGAAAAGAGAAGATAGTCATGATACATGCAATAAAAATAATGCAACTTTTGGGGATCCTCTACATTTCTATGCTTCAATCAACTTATCAGCCGATGTGCTACACTCACATCTTTTCACACAGAAAGACCTAAAACATAAATCTACCTGTGCTTTCTGTATAGGAGACATCCTACAACACAGGACAGCTTGACACATATGGCATAGGGAATGTAGCTCATCTCCACGCTGTTTGTGTTCCTGGTCCTGATTGGTCTCTGTCCGAATCACCAGAGAGAGACTAGCGCCATCTATCACAAGGGCAAATGTCTCCTCATCCTTTGAACTGCTTTCAATACTGGAAGAAAGAGAATTAAATATATGTGAAAAATACTGCAAAACTGAAAATATGAAAGGATGTTTATGAAAATCAGACTTAAGGTATACCAAATGTAATCAACATCACTTTAAATTAATTCCACTTAAAAAAAGAGGTGAACTGAATGTAGTTTCATTTTTCCCTGTTTGTGTTGCTGAATAAGATACGAGTATCCATCAATCTTACAGCCTTTCGATTTACGCCATTAACTACAAAATAGTCAACTTAGAGGTAAACTTACGCCTGCCTGTGCTGCTGAATAAGATGTGAGCATTCCTCCCACTCTCTGAGCTGGGTTAACCTCAACAACTGAGCACCAGGTTTAAAGTGACCTGCAGAGTAACTAATATTCACTGCTGTCTCTTCTTTGTCCCCCGTCAACACCCAGACCTGAAAAGTAAACACAGGACTGTCTTGAATACAGTGACATCTTTTGTTTAAATGTAAAGCAACACAATTATCAAAGTGGATAAAACCAAATGCATATCTTCGAACTAATAAAAAAGTATATATGTGTTGATAATATATTTTCCTGCCTCTCTGGTCTTGGAAAATGTTGCTTGTTCTTATGTAATTATATTAGATGTTTTGATACCATTTTAAGAAATCCTTACATTGATACCAGCCATCCTTAGTGCTTCTATAGTTTCTGGAACTCCATCTTGGAGCCGATCTTCAACTGCAGTTGCTCCTAAAATCTGGAGGTTGCTCTCTAATGTATTGAACACCTCTGCTAACTAAAACAGAAATATATGAAAAAATTTTTTAAAAAAATTTTAAATACAGAAAACATGCTTCCCTATAAAGGAATCAAGAGCTTCAACATGATGTTTTTTGCATATGGCACATCATCCATAATCTTTTTTTCCCCCAAATATTATATTAAAGAACGGTCACATTAAGGGTCACTGACTGAAGACAGTTTCCTGCACTCCTTTCTCCTAATTTCCAAAACTGATGATAATATGCACTGGACCTCTACATCATTCCTACCTTTTCTTCTCTGTTTTCAAGGGCTTTTCTGGCACTAGTGAGTTCGTGATCAAACTTCTCATATTCTTCCTCACTTAATTTTCTTTGTGATATCACAAGAGTACGCAGACCCAGCTGAAAATTGTGAAAACAATTTTTTAGTCACGGAACATCAAAAAACAATAAAAACACTATCTATACAATCTCAGTCATGTGATTTGTGTAACTAGTTGAACCAATTAAAATGCTTCTTTTTAAAGAAAAGAAGAAGAAAAGAAACCATAAAAAGCTCACCATTGCATAATCATTCACGTGTTGAAGAGCCTTGGTCACATTTCCAGATGTAGCATTGCACAGTATGGCTGACTCGGCTCCTTTGCATAGCAAATAGATGTTTCCTGGAATATAGTGATTTTTAATCAGCAACTCAGAATTTCTGTTGTAAATAATAATTAAAAAAAAAAACAAAACAAAACAAAAAAAAAAGAGCACCCTGAAGACCAAAATAGGCTTTTCACAAAAAATATGGAATTTTTGAGATCATGTTAAGACAGGAAGTTGTGAAGGATTATGGCAGTCATTGGCCTACAAGAACAAGATACTTAGAGAGAAAGAGAGAGATATAAAATCTGATGCAGTTTCAGCACCTTGTTCATCCTGTACAACAGTGCTCATTCTTTTCCTGGTGGCGTCAAACTCGAGAACATGAAGCTGCTTGTAGCGATGCACTTTGCCCTTGACCTTGACCTCCTGATGGTCGTCCTTAACGCCTAGGTACACAACACCATACCTGGTGCACAGATACAAACACGTCAAATAAAGTTCAAATTACAAATCACATTTCACAGACTAAGTGTGCCTTATTTACACTCACAGGTACATTCCGAAGTGATATCATAACAGTTACAGCTCTAAACTTTGAGCACTGAAGGAGAGACTAAAAAATGAGAAAAAGGTGATCCAAATACTGTTGTTTACTAATTTTGGCCATTTTCCCCTTTGGCATCAAAAGGTATCAGATCATATATTTCTCATTGCATTAGATGTTTGTTTTTTTTTTTTGCTTTTTTATTTTACTTTTTGTCACTGTAGTATTTAATATAAAAGACCCACCTTCTACATGCATCCACAAAGGCTTTTTCATCAGGAGAGGAGGCCTGGTATTCAAAGTCATAGTCACTGGTGTCAAAGTCAACTATGCCATTGATTTGATGATCTGCTGCCTTCTCTATCCTCACAGTGTGGCAGAGGGCTAGCACTGTGAAGAACCACTCCATGTCAGACTGGAAGTAGAGAGAAGAAGAGTCAAATTTGACTAATTGTGTTAGGCGTGAATTTAATTGTGTTAGGTGTGAGTGTAATTGTGTTAGATGTGAATGCAATTGTGTTAGGTGTGATTGTGATGGTGCTAATTGTGACCAGTTGTGCCAAGTGTGCCTTTCATTGCATTAGGTGTGATTTCATCGTACAGGAATGTGACTGTAACTTTATGGAAATGTGAATGACTTCGTATTGAAATGTTACTAATATTGTGTTAAGCATAACAGTAATTGCATTAGAAGTGATCCAATTGTACTGGAATGTGACTGCAACTTTATGGAAATGTGAATGATTTCGTATTGAAATGTTACTATTATTGTGTTAAGCATAAAAGTAATTGCATTAGGTGTGATTGTTATTGCATTAGGTGTTATTGTTATTGCATTAGGTGTGGAGTAATTTTACTGGAATGAGAATTTGTACTGTGTAAGGTGTCATTGTCATATCATTATCAAGATGGTTTTGAGCATGCCCACACACACACGCACACACCTTCCACCCACAGCATTGGGCTATATAGCTAATAATCTATATTGCTTTCTACTCCCTATGTACAAGACTATCTCACTTACAGTTAGAGTAGACACAGGTTGTGGCTGCACCCCAGGGATATCCGGCTTCTCACACACCAGTCCCCCCACTTCAATATACTTGGTCCCATTAACAGAGCACTGCCTAAACTGCATGTCATTCTCTGTCAGCGTCCCCGTCTTGTCTGTGAACAGGTACTCCACCTGGAGGAAAGATCGGGTAATGGAATTAATTAAATCTAAGTATGTAAACGTATTTCTTTGTGGAAACTCACCGAAGTCAATGCAAGAAACAAAGGTGATGTTTTTATGTACCATTATTGTGGCTACTTGGGAAAGTTTCACTAGATATGCTGTATGCAGAAAGGTTTATTTGTATGACAGAGGGAAAGTAACATTTTTCTCTGTTATCTGAAGCCAACCTGACTAAGAATACTAGGCATAATCGAAAAACTGTAAAAATTAAATTGATGCTTTTTTTTGTGGCAGACTCCTGCAACTAATTGTCTCAACTTACCTGTCCCAGTTCTTCATTCAGATCTGACGTGTTGGCCTTGGCTGCCTGTTCCGTGCCATCATCATACATTTTAATGTCCCAAGCAAAAAACATGGAACCTATAAATTTCTGGACCTCTGGAAATTTGATAGCAGGTCATTATATGAAATATCATTCATAAAGATATTCACTTGTTTTGTAGGCATCAAATGTGATATATCAGATACATATAATCAATGTCATCATATCAGCAAAATTGAAACCAAATGCACTAGTCTTACTAATATTAACATTACATGCATTATATATATTACAGTATAAGTATAAAGTAAAAGTGTAAAGCATCTTACCTATAGTAACATAAAGTGATATAGGGATGATATAGTTAAAGAGAACTGCAAATATTAGGAAGTCTTCTATTGCCTGTCTTGCCTGAAAGAGGAAAGATTTTCATAAATCTCTTCTGCCCTTATGTTATCTGTCACATTCAATAAATGTTTTATTCATTTTCATCCAATTTTTATTCATTTTTCTTTACTACTAGTTATTTTTGTGTTTGCAGTATATAATCAAGGGCAAAGAAAGATATTGAAACTCAAATTTAATATTCATCTAAGTTGTATAAATGTGAAAAAATGCCATGTAAAAGCACCTTGCATAATTTATAAAAAGTAGTTGGAATGAAAAAAAAATTAAAATATTTGCAGCTATATTTAGAAAATGTCTTTGTACTCCTGAGTATTGAAAATGGGTTCAGATACAAAATGACCGATTCCTTTGCACACCTAGAGCTTCATACTAAAACACGTGAGAATAAATTATCTTGAGTTTTTAATTAATTAACCACCAATTTTTAAAATTCTCTGGCTTCTGAACTTACTGTTAAATGATTATCCAGACGTATAAACCAAGAATTCTGCAATGTTGGTTGAGCTTCAGTGTAATACCTTAGTCCTAGGCAAAGACTAGTCTCCAGAAGTAGTAATATCATAAAACAGATCAGGAACGTATTCATTGCTCTGCGGTAAAAAAAAAATTAAGACATTAAAACAATGACCAGGAACAACTGGTTCTGGGTAAGAAATATGTTCATTTTTATCACTGGCCATCCAGTCATAAACAACATGGAGAATTTAATGTCCAAATAATCAAAGTTCAATCTACTGAATCACAAAAAAAATNTGGTTTTCCACTTATCGTGTTATCAGTGCTGCATATATGCTGAAAAAAGTGAAAAAACAGCATAAATTCCCTAAAAGTGACCCGATCATGCTGATTTTCGAACTTGACCTGCGTATTATGAATATTCATCAGTTCTGTAAGTTTCATACCAAAAGAAAAAACAGTTTTCCATTTATCGTGTTATCGGTAAAAGTGCACGGCGACGGCGACGGCGACGACGACAGCGACGACGGCGACGGCGACGACAGACGCAGATGATGGCTATATGTACAGACACATCTGTGTCTGTACATAAAAAGGAGCAAGTGTCTTACATTCAGAATATAGGAAACCATTTCATACAGTAACTGATTTTTTAAAATTTAAGTTTGATCAAAAACAACTGAACATCTAAAGATGTATCACCATCCAATTTAGATACAAGTGATAAATTAATCAAGTACCTTTCAACTTTTGAATACTTCTGAATTTTAAACTTAGAATTAATTGCCATTTTGGTGTCTTGGCCTGTGTAGATGGCACAGCCTAGAAAAGAAAAAACATATTTTCATTTCATCAGAATTATATTGTTGGTATCATATCTAAGAGAAAATAAAGTTAACTGTGCAACCAAAACATACATTTTCTTTTGCACTTGGATCTTAATGCAAAATGGCCGATTTACAAGACTGAAAAAGTTGCCTGACCTAGCAATAAGAAAGTGGCCTTTATCATGTTTATAAATATGAAAAGTACCTTTTCAGCAAAGCTGCTGCCAATACCTACCATGGACAAAAGGTGTATTCTTCAATCTAGACCCCCGCAGAAGAACATGCTCCGCTCCTAATGGTTGACACACTTTCTCTGATTGCTGATTGGGCACCTCCACGGTGATACGCCCTATGAACTTATAGAGATCTGCTATTGGCTGTTGACATTCTATTGTGGCTTTTACTGTACTCAGATCATCTTCTGTTTGCATATTTTTTGTAGCTGGCACACTTATAAATGTCTGGAAAATAAAAATATCTTTATGAGCAAAAAATTTAACGCATGCAGTGAAGAAATGTTACTGACAGGTGGGCAAAATATCTGAGTATATATTCTAAATTTTACCATCATTTAAAACCTAGGGCTCAGAAAATAAATATAATTGCAAATTGGTAATATTCCTTTAATTCAAATTTATTCCAGTACAAATATGACTTGTTCATATTCATTACAAAGAACAGGATATTATGATCGCTGCAGAAAAAAATCGTAACTGACAAAAGCTGAAAGTATCTTGTGATCAGCTTGCTTTTAATAATTCAAAGTATATAATACATATAACAATTATGAGAAGTTCCATCCAAGCTGATTTGATTACTAGACAGTCTAAGAGGAAAGATGTCTGCCTTCCACCAATCCTCCAGCCAGACTGGTACCCACCCCCTTACCTTTAAATTAGTCTCTCCGTCCAAGTTGGCCGTTGTTACCGTACAGTCACCGCTTGGGTCATGTGACGAGAGCTGGACCAGGTCACACGGGAAACTGTGGTTTATGTGCACTTTCACAATATCCCCAACCTGAGGGAGAAAAAAAAAATATTCAACTATTAAATACATAAGTAATGTAATATATTTTATAATATTCAAATATAAGATATTTCTATATATGACAAATATTGACCTGCCTGTCTAAGTCTCAGGTCTTTCAAGCATGCTCTTGGATGCCCCCCCCCACCCCCCCTCCCCCGCTCCCCACCCACCCCCCTCCCTTATCCCCTCCTCCTTTATTACCTGTATATCCATGGCCCGTATCTCCACAAACCTATCCCCTCTGAGCACCCAGGCTGGTCGGTTGTTGACCTCTTTGTCCGACTTGTGCCGCAGCCAGTCTTCATAGCCCTACATTGAAAAACAATTTCTTCATTAAAAACTTAATGCAAGAGGTCACAATGCCAAAGGTCAAAGTGTTGAAGGTCACAATACCAAAGGTCACAGTGTTGAAGGTCACAATACCATAGGTCACAGTGCTGAAGGTCACAATACCAATCGTAAAAGTGCTATCAAAGTAGAAAAAAATAACAAGGGCTTTCAAAAGAAAACATACTAAAGGGCCATTAAACAGTAGTTTTCCACTACATAAACCTTACAGCTGTCAAACATCAGATGGGGTGAAACTAGGTTTTCTTTCAAAACAAGACTGATACCATTAGCCAAGATTGCCATTAGATATTAGTACTACCATCGCATGACACAGCTGTGTTTGAACAGTGCAAGTGTGCCTGGTATGAACTTCCAAACATGTGTTACCATAGTGAAAGCCAACTCACCTGTTTTATGCCAGTAGTAGTTATCACAAAGATCAGTGGAAGTATACTTGTGGCTGGACTCACTGGGCTTTCTATCAGAAGCTGAAAAATAAAGAGAGAAATTAATTTTATTCACTAAAGTTACACTCCTTTGGTGTGTCTTCTATACCAAGAATTCTGATAAATTGTTAATTGGTTTCATGTACGGAAAAGGGTTTACACAGTATTATATATTATGTAGTAATGAATTCCTGATAATAAAGTTGGATTTTCGGACAGAAAATTTCTTATTAAAAAAAAAATTACATCTTTCAGTTAATTGGGTGATACACGAGGCCGACCGTTTCAATATGAATAGAAATACTAGTAATTAAATTTCTCTGGTAAAAAGAAATGGGGGGTGGGGGGGGGGGGGGATGTTATTCCTTTTTATTCAACACTTTAACTGACAGACCCACGAATCAAATTTGGCAAGCCACTAAAAAACTTGCAGCTTAATTCCTGATTAGATGCTGAATAGATTCCCCGCAGGGATTACGCAACAAGCATTAACCTGGGTCGGTCATATTTGATCCATGATACACCAGGCCTACCCAACTACCAGACTCAGCACCGAATGATCCTGAATTCACCATTAGATCAGACAACACTACCCGTTTTCAAGGTGTGTGTCAGATCGCATACACAGTATCAGACGCGACACCGCTCTTGCCTAGTACGCGATGTGATAGTGACGATTCTCAGCAGGGTTGAAAAGCATTGCATCACCACTCTAAAATTTGTTCAGGGTATGATACTATGTAATGCGATCTGACACACACCTTGAAAACGGGTAGTGTGGTCTGATCTACCGGTGAATTCAGGATCATTCCGTGCCGAGTCTGGTAGTTGGGTAGACCTGTTACACCACTGCTCTGACTGTGCTCTCAGAAAAATTGGAATAAGGTAAACTAACCACAGCCATGTGCGATATACAAAGGAAAATCTCTCCAATAGATGGGAGTCCAGTCAATTATTCTACGTCTCTGTAACCAATCCATTTTTTATTCGACCAAGTATAATGTGTTATTGATTAGCGACCAAATTGGACCTGTATTACTAACAGATGTGCACACAAAGAGCATCTCGTATGTCAACATGTAACATGACGTGACATAGAAACAGGTTATATATTACCAGCAGTGCAAAATTTAAAGACATCATTAAATGGCTCTATGTTAGTGGCAGGCTGTTCAAAATGTGTTCCAGCCAAACTGACAAATCTTATAAATTAACTTTTTTTACAGTAGAAGAATTTGGTGGAATGAGGATTTTCAAAACCAAAAAGGTTAATTGCCTGCTGCCCCTTTCCAAATAATAAAAAGAACTTATTCAGCTAATTAAAGTAAGCTCTAAGTTAATTAAAAGAGATGAAAAGTAACTCTTTGAAGTTAACCAGTTTAAAGCAATAATAACTCTTCCTTTGAAATTCAAAAATCCGCATGAAATACATTGTAAACAACGCATGGAAATATATTCTATTGTATTTTACCACTAAAACGGCCGTTATTGTAGGAAAACTAAAATCTGTGCTTGTCAATAGGGCTTTCGATCCCCTTTTTTCCAGTCGTTAAGTGCATTCGTTGCTAATGACGTAATGGTGTCACGCGGATTCTCGCGTTCATTCGAGACCAAAATAACATGGCGGGAAACCCTCAGACGTAAGTTGCGAGTTTTTGTACAGTGCGTCGGATAACGAAAAGCCCAGAATGGCACACATTGTGCATATAAATGCATTTTTAACAAAAAGACGAATATATCTCATGAATCTTATATAGTGTTGTTGTTGTCTGCTTTTCCCGCAGTTTTAAGTAGGTCACCAGTGACTTTGCAATGTCAGAGAGAGCTCCGTCAGTCCGTCTTAAGAGATTTTAACAAAAAAAAATTATAGAAAAATTCTGAACATACAGGTGACACACACAATATCTAAAATTGTTGAGCAGGGGCAGTTGTCACATGCAGGCAGTAAATTGCTTGCTAAGAAAGATAATAAATAACACATTTACCAAATACTGGGAAAAATCGCCTTCACAAAGACTGCAACAGTGGGTAATAAAATCACACAATGACAATGTTTTTAACATTTTTGCTAAAAAGATTGTATTCAATAACTTAGGAACTGAATTAAAAAATGCAGAATTCCATGTTTCCATGAAAAAAGCTCATGTCTGATAGAAGATAGAGGCCATTTCTATTAGAATAAAATGGGAAGAGGCTATTTCTGTTGGAATAGGGCAGAGGTTAGAAGCTTTTCTATTAGAATAGAGAGAATAGAGGCTAGTTCTATTAGAATAAAGAGAATAGAGGCCATTTTTATTAGAACAAACAGGTGAAAGACTATTTCTATTAAAATAGAGTCGACAAAGCCTATTCACTGATATTGAAACTGAACTTGAAAGCCTCATTTCCTAAGGAAGCTATCCTAGATAGTCTGACACATCAACATCAACAAAAGTCAATCCCAGTATGTTGTCTGCATTTAAATTATTCATCAATAAATGACGGATGGATCTATCTTATATACACAGGAGCGGGTTTCTGTTTGGCTTTTTTTTTTTACCAAAAATAATGTAAATTATGAAATATTAAATAATATCTGATGAAATATTCAGGCTACATTCATGCTAGCACCATGCTGGTAGAATATGTTTTGTTGGGATTGCAAAATCCTATAAATCAAAATCTATTTTCATCATTACTCAGGAAATGTGCCTTGTTCAAAGGCAAGGAGGTATGAAGTTTGCTGACACAGAAGAATGAATATGGTGACTGATAATCAATCTGTACACGAGACAAAAAAGCCGTGTTAAAAACATACATACGTACTTGGTGTGCTATTTTTGGAAAAACTATTGTCAAAATCTGAGATCTTCTTTGGAGAGTAAAAACTAGAGGATCAGAGAGGCGATACCGCCTCCGGATATTGTACCACCAGCTGGAGTAAGCGCATTCGTATAGACCCCCCACCCAAAAAAAAGGGACACCACCATCAGTCTTGTGCTTGACAAGCTCTATAAAATGCAATCACAAGAATTCTCAAAATATGCAAAAAAAATTAACTAAATATGGTACAATCAAAGTTCAGTTCATCGTAAAAAGTAGGTCAAGGGTCACAGTAAATTGCCTCTAATGACTTTCTATTCCAGGTCAGTAGTAACTATGGACCTATCTCTGCCAGTTTTGGAGATAAAAAGGTTCGAAAATTTGCAAATTTCAGTTCATGGTAAAAAGTAGGTTCGAAAATTTGCAAATTTCAATTCATGGTTAAAAGTAGGTCAAAGATCAATTTTAAGGTCACAGTAAATTGCCTCTAATGACTTCCTATTCAAGTTCAATAGTAACTATGGGCCCATCTCTCCAGTTTTGGAGATAAAAGGGAACCAAATTTGCAAAGTTCAGTTCATTGTGAAAAGTAGGTCAAGGGTCAATTTTAAGGTCACAGTAAATTGCCAGTATATGACTTCCTATTCAAGTTCTGTAGTAACTATGGACCTATCTCTGCCAGTTTTGGAGATAAAAGGGAACCAAAATTTGCAAAGTTCAATTCATGGTAAAAAGTAGGTCAAAGATCAATTTTAAGGTCACAGTAAATTGCCTCTAATGACTTCCTATTCAAGTTCAATAGTAACTACGGACCTATCTCTGCCAGTTTTGGAGATAAAAGGGAAGCAAAATTTGCAAAGTTCAGTTCATGGTGAAAAGAAGGTCAAAGGTCAATTTCAAGGTCACAGTAAAATTGCCAGTATATGACTTCCTATGCAAGTTCAATAGTAACTATGGACCTATCTCTGCCAGTTTTGGAGATAAAAGGGAACCAAAATTTGCAAAGTTCAATTCATGGTAAAAAGTAGGTCAAAGATCAATTTTAAGGTCACAGTAAATTGCCTCTAATGACTTTCTATTCAAATTCAATAGTAACTATGGGCGTATCTCTGCCAGTTTTGAAAATAAAAGCATTAAAAAATTGCAAAGTTCAGTTTATGGTATAAAGTAGGTCAAAGGTCAATTTCAAGGTCACAGTTAAATTGCCAGTATATGACTTTCTATTCAAGTTCAATAGTAACTATGGACCTATCTCTGCCAGTTTTGGAGATAAAAAGGAACCAAAATTTGCAAAGTTCAATTCATGGTGAGGAGTAGGTCAAAGGTCAATTTCAAGGTCACATTTAAATTGCCAGTATGTGACTTCCTATTAAACTTTAATAGTAACTATGGACCTATCTCTGCCAGTTTTGGAGATATAAGGGCCTAAATGTTACTTTTTGATACAACATAACTCGAAAACCGTATGGAATACGAATAAACGGAGACCACTCCCAGTGTTGGGCTTTACATGCTCTACAAAATGCAAAAAAGAACGGGTCTCTAGCATTAATGGTTCCCGAATTAGAGACAGTTTTCAGTTTCGGTATCTTATGGCCGCTACTCCTGTGAAAATGCACTGATTGACCCCAAATTCACGGAGATGAAAGATGACCCAAAGGGAAACACTTCCCAATAATATTATTGGTTAAGTCTGTGTAGTGTCTGAATAACAGCAAAAAATTTTTTTTTTCGTTAAAAAAAATTGTTTTTTTGAAAAATTTGGCCCGTTTGACCTTGAAACAAAGGTCAAAGATCAAATCCAAGGGGATATTTGAAATCTCCACATATGACTTTCGGTCAGCCGTCTGTAGAAAATTTTCCCATAATTCCTTCCGTAGGGTAGATAATTGGCATTGAATTTTCAAAAATTTTGACAAGGGTGCATTTCAACGAGTGTCACACCCAGGTCAATGCACCGACTGAGACAAAAAAAACCTGGGGGTTCAAGTTGAGGTTATATGTGACCTAAATCCAAGAGATGGGGACAGGGGTCCTTGCAGTCTAGGAGGAGAAGCGGTAACGGTGACTTGTATCCGGCGCCAGTACGCGGAGCCGGCGGAGCCGCAGGAGCCAGCCGAGCCGGCGAAGCCGGACGAGACGGGTCGGGACTAAAACCATGAGTACCGCCAGCGTACACGCTGGTGGTACTAATAATTTGAGCAGGTGAGGAATATGCCTCAAAAATGTCAGAATGAAACAAATTTTAAAAACCTGCAAAATTTATTTGGACAGAAGGAATGAATAAATGAATGAATGCACCAAAAATGAGCGAATAAATAAAGCAAAGATAAGATTTAAGTTGACATTAAGAAGAGGAACACTAGTACTGAAAATTTTATTTTGATAGATTTGTTGACAATGTCTTAAAAAATCCATTTCATCAAAAGGAGCATTACACTTCAAAATTTAATCCCCTATATGCCAGAAAGACCCCAATCTCCACAACAATCCAATAAAAGTTTATCATCCAGCCTTTATCATCCTTTCCATCTGACTGGGTCATATAAAATATGCTGACTTATCATGCGGAGGACTATCAATACATTTGATATACAGTGGACTCCCTATAACCTGTCACCTCATAACTGGGAATATCATCCATAACAAGTCTTATAGAGTGTTTTCTTTTTCTACATTAACTCGACTTATAACAACTGTTGCCGTTCTCCAATCTTGGTGCAACATGAACAATATTTTTGACCCCCAAAGGTCAGAGTTATGTAGATTCTACAAACTAACTTAGTTCCAAACAAATCACCATTCATTTATACAGCCATACCAAGATACAAGATACACTTCAAATATACTTTTATTTGAGAGCTTTATTTAAAGATCTGAACTGGGGAAGATTGAAAAAAAAACTTTGCAGCATATTTAGACTTAAAAATATGACTTACTAGTAAAACATTTTCAAACACGTTTGCCTTTTTACTTATGAGTTATATCTACTTTTAAGTAGCACATCAAAATGGTATTGTTTAATGAACAAATTATCTTGACGGTATGATGACAAAGTTGTTATGAATTTCCAGTACTTTTACCTTAAAATTCAAAATAAAACAGGAACAGAATGCTCTACCTCCTCTAAAAAACTACCATCTCCAAAATTCAGAATTTTACAACTGTCTCTCACATAAAAATGAAGGGATTTCTCCAAAAAAGCAGGAAACCTTCACTCCTGATATGATTTTCTTGACAGATATAAATAACCTGTCATATCCAATGCAATTAAACAGAGTGCGTAGCAAAGAGCTGAGAGACATGAATAATTGACAGCCTAAATGTCTACCTGACTGAATAAGTTGAGCACCATTGCTTTAATCTTGATGTTATATCAAATTACACGGCCATAATACGGTTATCAATTATCTTTTCAAAAGCGGGCCCCATAATCATGGAAGTTGAACATTCAACATATGCTACAGTAGTCACTAAGTGAATCAGCTACAACCAAACACAACATAAACATCATGACACACAAATCTGCAATGTTAACCACTGCCAAGAGTGGCCCATATGTCACTGAATCCCTGCCAGTAAAGGTGTGTAAATCTGTTTAGTTATTGGCCATGATGATTTCTGCTTTAAGCCTGCAGATTCTTAATCCCTGTTGGCCTTAAGGGTCAGAAGGTTAAAATGTTGTTGGCAAAGATTGGGGATCAGCTCTTCCCCCTTCCACCCCAACCCACTCAACCACCCACCAACACTCCAAATCAAAAACAAAAAGATCTGGTTGGTCCTTCCTCAATTAGGGGAGACAAGACACATTTAACTAACTTCATCCACCCACAGTCTCTTCACTGTTCAACACTGTAATGTACAGTTGGAATAGCAGATCAATATTTTACACCTCACACACACACACATACACACATACAAAAAAAAAAAGGAAAATAAAAGGATAAACTTTTCAATATCCTGTATCCAGCAGTGGGTGAAATTAGGTTCCATCTGATACTCATGTCGTATGTGGAGGCTTAATGTGTATAAACACATTCAGAATAGCTGACTAACAGATCCGCGGATCAAACTTGACTGAGCAACTTGAATGCTTGTTGCGTACTGTAATCCCCTGGGGAAATCTATTTAGTGTCTAATCGGGAATTAAGCAGCAAAATTTTTTAGTGGGTCGCCATATTTGATCCACGGATCTGCTAGTCCATGGTTCTGAATGCGCTCTTTGATACCAAGCACGGTCACATCAAATTTCCTGCAGACATGGTTTGCATGTTGGTGTGCCTTGGATCAGCCATTAGACATTTCAAGATGCACGTTTTACTGCAAACTTGTTGCAAAACACAGACTTGACTAAAATCTGCACACATTTCAAGATACTTAATGGACATTTTACTTGAAGTACAGATTTTCAAAAAATGCTGGAAATTTCAATATTTTCCTTAATCAGGAGTGTATACCCTTGCCAAAGCTGTTAAGATAATTACAATCCACACACTACTTTTTTGAGTTTTGTTCCACGAACTGTAAAAAAAAAAAAAAATTAATAATCACCACATTTAAATTCACTAGAGATGCATCAGAGAACTTAACAGACACTCACCTCAATTACTCCCACGCACAGGAAGTAAAAATTGGCAATTCTGTGAAACTGTTCAAATAAGTTCTTTGGCAGGAAATTCCATAACGTGTACTGAAACAGAAAATAAGAATAGTTTTGAAATACAAACAATTGTGTTATATAAAAGACCTGTAAACTATGCCAAGTTTACATTCAGACTGAATTATATCTTAACTTGGGACATTTCAACAAATTGAAAGATAAGGAATAAGTCAACAAAAATGTCACTATTAAACTAGAAAAGCGCTCACAGAGCATTTACATCCTGTAAACTATGCCAAGTCTAAATTCAAGCTGAATCATATCTCAACTTGGTGCATTTCATCAAATTGAAAAATGGGATTAAGTCAACAAAAATGTCATGATTATACTAAAAAGCACTCAGTGTGTGCAGACTATTTCCTTACCTTGGAGATCATGATTTGACTGTCACAATATTTTATTCTTTAAAATCTAGTATCAATTCAGTTGTCTATTATCACAAAGTACTAAATTATTCCTATATACAAGACTCAGGGTGGTTTTCTTACCTTGGAGGTTATAATCTGATTATCACAGTATTTCTGCGGAATGTAAGTCTCGTGCTGCAAGGGTGGCTTGTTGTCCACAAAGATGACGCGATTCTCTTTTGTTGGTGGCTTAAGGCACCCCTGAATCACAGTGATAATAGGATTATTTTTATTAATTATTATTATTATTATTATTATTATTAAAAGCAAGAGCTTTGCAACAAAGGGAAAACATGATGAATATGGAGGAAGAAGAAGTGGGGAAAAAGTCACAAGATTAGAAAAATAAATAAATAAATAAATAAATAAATAGCGTAACATTAGTAGTACACTGTCTGCACATTTGTATTTTTCTTTTTAAAACCACATTATTCATGTACATCATCTGACATCATTCAACCATACTAGTATATAACCACTCATTTGCCTAACTCTGAACCCTTTGTACATACTAGTACTAGTACTTGGTTGTATCAGAACATGAACTAGAAAAGCACTCCAACAGCGCAGATCTCTGCCAAGGCAGCATTTTTTATTATTATTGATTGATTATTGATCTGGATCACCACCAAAAACTAATAACTTCTTAGTTAACCCATTTCCCACCTACTCTGAAAATTTCATCAAAATCGGTCCATAACTTTTTGAGTTATGTTGATGACAAACAAACACACAGACAGGGATGAAAACATAACCTCCTTGGCAGAGGTAAAAATTATAATGCTTTTTCTATCAAGAGTCATTCCTCAGAATATACAATCTATTTTAACCTCTGTAAATTTTTATATCCCTTCCTATGAAATGGGTCCAAGATAGATCTTCAAATGGAGGTTTACCCTTATATCCCAATTCAATGTATAAATACAAAAACTTCTGGATCAGATGCCATGTACATAAAATATATACTAGTACATTAATTATACCACAACATAACATAAATACATTTGTTATTTCAGCATATGACGGAATCATTAGCAGCACACAAGCACTCAAACTGGAAATTTTTGCCATTTCATAAGGGCAAGAAGGAAAATGTTACATAAACATTCCATTTCTTTACTATCACTCAGTAAGACACTTCAATCAACATGGTCCACTTAACATCCTGGTCTGCCCTAACAAAGCCTATCCTTTATACTGCTGTAAGAAACTCTTCAAGCTATTTTATCTTTTATTTTCCCATTTTTTTCAACAGCCTTCATGTTATGTTCTTGTCTATATACATGTACTAGTAAGTAATATAATTGATACAAATAACAGTGCCTCTGCTGACACATAAATTTCTTTCTTTTTTTTTTTTTTTTTTTTTTTTTTTTTTTGCAAAGTGAAAAACCATGGAATGTATCTATAGACATCCAGAAATATGGAATCTCTTGAACTAAGCTCTCGGTAGGTTAAGAAAACATTTTTAACAGTCATTGGACACTTTTGATTGCTTTAAAATGTTTATGGAAGGATGAACTTTGATAAAATATTGCCCATAAAGTACCAGTACAATGTTTAAATTACCCAGGAATATAGCTGAGATGTCTGAATCTTTTTATATTATCACATTACCTTTAGTCTATTGATAAAACTTAATCATTTATCACTCCACAGTTTAAACTCGTCACACTGTCCAAGTGATTAAAGATAGAAAGGGGGGGTCTCAGAGATATACCGTTTGATCATATTATTAACCTCTTAGGAAAACGGTGTGCTTAAAGCATAAACGATAGATTTCTCTATGTATGCACTAATGTTGTTTTCTTTAGTCACTACACAGCTCTTTCACAATCAAAACTGAAACTATACCAGGTGATTCATTCAGGAGATTACAGTCACATCCGTTTTCAGTTAGGTAATAATAGTGCTATTAGTAGTAGTAGTAGTAAATAAAGCGTTTCCTTTATTGCCATTCTTCATAAGACGACGTTAAACTCAGTTGTTTTTATCAATTTTTAAACCTCCTATCAACATTCAGTCGTACTTGCCCATTAAGTATCAACTTTAGTACCAACTTTTAACAATAGTTTGGTATACTCTGGATCAATACAGTTTGGGGTCCCATGTTTGTAGTTGCTGTTTCGAAATACCAATACGTCTACATTCGATGCCAATTCTACTTACCACAGCCAGTCCAATTCTCCTAAACAAAGATGGCATCCCCGGACTTGTTTGTGTTCTTTAAAATACACCGTCTACATTTCTGATTCCATTCTGAACTCTGTAAAAAATTAAAAGTTTTTGTCGATATCGAGTCCTGTTCCTAGATACCCGCGCCCATTGACCCCTAACAAAAGGAGCTAGATAAAGATTATTGTTTAGTTGCGTAAAAAGATGAATGCCTTTCTTGTAAGTTGGACAACAGTTTTACTTTTTATCATCAATTTTACAATAAAAAATTACGTTTGTAATTTTTCTTGCCAAAAAGTTAAATTTCTATATAAAAATAATTACCAAGCTATTTACGAAACTTCACATATTATATTAAACAGATCCGCTTTGCGCGGGATCGTTAAAACAGAACTGAAGTAAGATAATAACATTTGGAAAAGCCGTAAACATGTGTTAAATATAAACTTTGGGAAGGTGCAGCCAATATGATGAATGATCCAAGATCCCCACCAGCTTTATTAAAAAGGCTGTGCGTTAGGGTGACAGGCCTTGGAGATGGTGAGTCGAGCACTGCGGTCGAGATTCGATCTTGTCTAGAGTCTAGGCTAAGTAACTTTTAAGTCAAGGCGTCAGCGTTAGAATTTTGATTTATAATTATATTTCCACATGGAAGTGTCATCTTTTAGCACTTGCTAAGCCTGAGAAAATCTGTCTCCACTTTTCGACATAGTTTAATGTAGTAGAAGTGTACTTTGTAACACAAATTGTTTCAGTCCTTACCAAAAACGTCCAAGCCTTCTCGTCAATTCACAACACCAGACTCTCGTGAATTCACAACACCAGACTCTAAGTGTCTATTGACTTAATGCAGAAACAGTAAATTATGAATAAAGCATCAAAATTTTCATATTTTGAATTCAGTATTCCTGGCATATACTGGAGGACCAGTGTTAAAATTTGAGACTGATGTTCCCTTATACTAAGCATTTGTTAAAGATACCCCCAAAAGTACAGTGTGACTGATCCAAGTACGGTGTGACTGAAATGCGCAATACACTGCAAAACAGCGCAACACAGTGCAATACACTTCAAAAATCAAATCCAGTTGCAATTACACTAAAGAAATGACCATTCCCAGCAAAGTAGGGTGATATAAAAACAACCTGTATTACTATGTAAGTAATATCGTTGATATAAATTAACAAATCAGCAAGACTTTTATATTGTCTGGTTGGCAGCCATGTTGGCGAGTGGCTCTTCTTGGATATATTACTGGCCAAGAAGAGCTACTCGCCAACATGGCAGCTGACCAAACAATGAAAAAATTGTCAAGTTGTATCAGCAATATTAATTACTACAGTATGTACTATATTTTGCTTTTATATCACCCTATTTTATTTGAGATTACCCTTTCCTGTGTTTACTTGCAACTGGAGTTGTGTTATCAAGTGTATTGCGCTGTATTGCAGTGTATTGCGCATTTCAGTCACACCCCCAAACGTATAATGTGTATTTTTTAATGTTTTCAGATGCTGTGCAGCCATTGTTCCAGCAAGCTCTCAGGACACTAGCCAGGTAAAAGCTGATGTGTGCTTGTGTGTTTGTCTTATGTCTTATTAACAATAAATGTTATGATAGTCTGTCCTGAATAATACATAGAAAAATGTAATACATCAGAGTTGTCTCACACATAATCTTAAGATCTTCTAGGCTTAAGTTTAGACATCTAAATTTATTAAATCAGCAAACCTCAAAATAAGGTTGAACTGTCAATGTAGAGTTCATGAACATGTATTTTCCCCTCTCTTTAGTGATTTGTCAGTCCAGGCTGAGGCAGACGAGTTCCAGATGGCAGAAAAAATAAAGAGGAAATGTAAGCAACTCACTTTTGATAAAATTAGAGTCAGAAGTCTTTATTTGAATTTGATTTTAGATTTAGAATGTTCTTGATGTGTGATTGTAAAAAGCATGATCTCATTGTTTGGAAAAATGTGTATATTTATTTATTAACTTATTTACAAGGGTATAACTTTTTTGATAGATATAGTTCTTTTTCAAGAAATTGATACTCTCTTCATGCAATATAAAAAAAAATAAGTTGCTTACATGATGATGCGTATAAAATACTCAAAAATGGGAACTCCATTGAACATCCTTCTTTCATGAGCATTTTCTGTCTCTATATCTCTAAATGAGTACAGCAGTATAGCAGGTTATAGATTTCATCCATCTTTTCAGTGGCGAGGCAGGGCAGGGAGAAAGATGCCGCTGTTATCTCTGAGCTGCACAGAAAGCTGCAGTCACAGGGTGTTCTAAAGAATAGATGGTCCTGCCTCAGTCTGCTGCTTTGCCTGAGTGATAACACCTCAAAACACAGGGTTTGTAGTGTCCAATTTGTCAACAAAGCTAAATTTAGTCGTAGTTTGAGCAGAAAACAATGTAGAATCACAATAGAAACAAATGTGGCATTGAGCACAGCTTTTCGTTTTCTGCATGAACCATGGTTTTAGACAGATAAAGCCCTCTACGCAGATCTTTATGCAAAATAGAGATTTTTAGTTCGATTTTGTTTCCTCTTTTTGGCTTATAGCTATGTTACTGGTACTTTATCTGTTCGTAGACTTAAACAAGTCTACTGGATATCACCATGTGGATTATTTGAACTGTAATATAATGCCTCATGCTGTGCCATACAGTTCAGTCTAAATTAGTTTGGTCATAAACACAGCCTAGTTTGTCTGAGCAATTTTTTCTTTATTGAATTTTTATTGCAGGCATTAAATATATATTAAAAGGATTATAATTATACCATCTGACACCCCGTATCATTTCATTACATGCTCAGTAAAAAAAAAAAAAGATGAGTGGTAATGAAATATTACAAGTGAAGTAAGGCACAGGTATTTATTCCAGCCCCTACCAGGGAGTCATATTTTTGCGTCCAGCCTGGGTCAGTATGCCACCTCTACCCCAATGACCCACAGAGCGGGCCCCCAGCAGACTCCAGCTGTAGGGGGCAGCACAATACAGGTATGCTCAGGCATTTAATACAGTCAATACTACCATATGTTGGAAAATTGTGTAATGTAGTTCAAGATTTGAAAAGTCATTATAAAGTTATGAAAAGTTACAGTGTACTGCCATGTTGATAACCACAGATTTCCCACATTAGTGCATATTATAATTATTGCAAATAATCTAAATCAGTGATTGCCTATTGACAGTAATTATGTTTATTATGCCAATATATAAACCAAATTTGTATGTGATAAAACTAAACCTTTTTACTATGCATACAGTACTGCAGAGTATGGTGTATACAATTTTAGATTTTTTTTTATGGAGGAAATATTGTACTGGATCAGGTTTTGTAAATTTTGGTCATAATGATGCAGTATGGTGTTAAATTTAAGTGGTATTGTTTTCATAATTTCCAGAGTGGCATATCAACAGGCAGCAGTGGGATTAGCAGTATCCACTCTGGGAGAAGTGGGGACCCCACACCAGTGCCACAGTCTTTTGCTCCTAGGTTCTAGTCATTTTTTTGCTTGCTCTCTCTCTCTCTCTCTCTCTCTCTCTCTCTCTTTTTGAAAGTCAGCCTGAATGTTTCATATTTTGATGTTGTATCACCACCTGTTTCTTCTTGTGATTTATTGTATTTAAAAATCAATTATTGTTTTTCCTGGTAAGATATTTATTTAAACCGTGGACACCATTTGCAATATTACAACTGTTAGCTTACATGTTTAAAATAATCATGCTCTTTCCCCATTTTCCAGTCATCTATCAGGTACTGCCCTGGGTCAGACCCCATACACTGCAGGTAGACCCACCCTGGGGCAACGTCTGGCCTTGTCTCTGAACAGAGGAGGTGAGACCAACATAGGATTGTGCTAGATGTGACTGTTATTTAATGTAATTGTGTTAGGTAAACATGAGCTTCTTCCCCGAAAAAGTGGAATTCCACTTTTTTCAAATTTCAATTCTGATGGTTCCTGAGATTCGACAAGGTTAGGTGTTGGGTCCCATGATAATTTTTTTTTTTTTTTTTTGAAACCTTACCTCATGTCTGGTTAGGTGTGACAAGTAGAGGTGACAGTATATTGCTGGAATTGCATTAACCCTGCAGGTTTTATGTTAGGTGTGACAACATTTCTGTTGTTGTGTAAGATGTCATACTATTGCATATGGTGTGACATTGTTTCTGTATTCATTGTGTCAGGCGTTATAAAATTATGTTAGGTGTGACAGTGTTTCTTCTCTGATTGTGTTTGGTTTAATACCATTGTGCTGTAGTCATGTTGAGGATTCAATTCTAAATATTCCAGGTCAGCAGTCCAGTACATCAGTGGTGCCCAGGAGCAGTAAGAGTGTCACAATAGCCAGCACACACAGAGATGGGGAAGACAATGGTATGTGTATGCAGGGCTCTGAAATTTCCCTATAGAGAAATAAGTTAAATGATCAGTCAACAGTGACATTCCATTCACTTGTTGCCAGCTAGTGAAAGTTTGGCCATCAGTTTGCATTTCCCCGTTGTCTTCTGGTTGAGATTGCAAAATGAGATGCCTTACTTTTGCACACTTTTGAAGTAAGTTTTTGTAAAGACATTTATCCACCTAATAGTGTGTCAGTTTGGATAAAGAAACTGAAATACATTTAACCTCAACAGTATCACCAACAAAAAAGGAAAATATGAAAGAATAGTGTAGTTTACAAGCAAATGCAGTGATATAACACCAATGATATTCTGTCAATTTCCCCAGTGTCTTATGAGATCCCAGAGGCCGTGCTGCTGAGAGAGATGGTCTATGTGCTGCAGGGGATAGACGGGCAGTTGATTAAATGGGACATTAACAATGCAGGGTACAGGATAGATGACAAGGTACATGTTGTATGGTGAACTAGGTTTTTGTTGTCTCTTGTGCTGATGGCAAAATGAAATGTTAAACTTGCTTTCAACCTATGAGGTGTGACATCACTGCAGCATTTGTTAAAAGACAAGAAAGAAGATTGTATGAATGTATTTTATTGCATTACACATGCTGGTATAGCCAGGGCAGAAAGACAAAAGGGGAAAGAAAAGAAATACCTTGTATTAAGTACTCACTTTGTTCTTATGATGTCCATAGGCTGGTATAGCCAGGGCAGTGAGACAAAAGGTGACCAA